CCCCCCCCCCGGAGAAAAAAAGTCTTGAAGAAACACTTGGATTGGATAGAAAAGATTGATGTTGGCTTTAAAGGGAGATAATTATATACTACAAATTTAAAACTTAAAATAAGCAGAATTGTTTCCCTTTAGTTAACAAACTGTTCACTGCTAGTGGTATACCAGTATTGCCACACTTCTATTTTAGGGCCTGGCAATTATTTTTTTTAGTTTGCTACTGATTTGATTTAGCAAATAAGATGAATTAAAATAAAATTAACTAATAATTTAACAATAGCACTGATAATGATTTTTATTTTATTTTTATTTTGAAAGAATAAATTGAATCAAGCAGCCAAATCAAGTGACCCACCCAATACGTCAAGTTGCTTTGTCTAGAAATGCAGTTAGCTTAAGACTTTATTAGCTGTTTGGTTCAACCTTAATGTACAGGTGACAAGGAAATTCTTTACACAGCTCCCGATGTGTTTTTCTACAATTATTTGCATTTTAAATTAACCTTTGCCCAGCACAAAGGCTAGGGGAAGTGGTGTGCTATAAATAGATGAACGAAATTAGACTAGGCTTTTGGCTGTCGTGTCGTGTCCCGGCCCTGGTGTCGTGTCGTGTCCCGGCCCTGGTGTCGTGTCGTGCCCCTGGTGTCGTGTCGTGTCCCTGGTGTCGTGTCGTGTCCCGGCCCTGGTGTCGTGTCCCGGCCCTGGTGTCGTGTCGTGCCCCTGGTGTCGTGTCGTGTCCCTGGTGTCGTGTCGTGTCCCGGCCCTGGTGTCGTGTCGTGTCCCGGCCCTGGTGTCGTGTCGTGTCCCTGGTGTCGTGTCGTGTCCCGGCCCTGGTGTCGTGTCGTGTCCCGGCCCTGGTGTCGTGTCGTGTCCCGGCCCTGGTGTCGTGTCGTGTCCCGGCCCTGGTGTCGTGTCCCGGCCCTGGTGTCGTGTCCCTGGTGTCGTGTCGTGTCGTGCCCCTGGTGTCGTGTCCCGGCCCTGGTGTCGTGTCCCTGGTGTCGTGTCGTGTCGTGCCCCTGGTGTCGTGTCCCGGCCCTGGTGTCGTGTCGTGCCCTTGGTGTCGTGTCCCGGCCCTGGTGTCGTGTCCCTGGTGTCGTGTCGTGTCGTGTCCCTGGTGTCGTGTCCCTGGTGTCGTGTCCCGGCCCTGGTGTCGTGTCGTGTCGTGTCCCTGGTTTCGTGTCGTGTCGTGTCCCTGGTGTCGTGTCCCGGCCCTGGTGTCGTGTCGTGTCGTGTCGTGTCCCTGGTTTCGTGTCGTGCCGTGTCCCTGGTGTCGTGTCGTGTCCCTGGTGTCGTGTCCCTGGTGTCGTGTCCCGGCCCTGGTGTCGTGTCGTGTCCCTAGTGTCGTGTCGTGTCGTGTCCCTGGTGTCGTGTCCCGGCCCTGGTGTCGTGTCCCGGCCCTGGTGTCGTGTCGTGTCCCTAGTGTCGTGTCGTGTCGTGTCCCTGGTGTCGTGTCCCGGCCCTGGTGTCGTGTCGTGTCCCTAGTGTCGTGTCGTGTCGTGTCCCTGGTGTCGTGTCCCGGCCCTGGTGTCGTGTCGTGTCCCTGGTGTCGTGTCGTGTCGTGTCCCTGGTGTCGTGTCGTGTCCCGGCCCTGGTGTCGTGTCGTGTCCCGGCCCTGGTGTCGTGTCGTGCCCCTGGTGTCGTGTCCCGGCCCTGGTGTCGTGTCCCTGGTGTCGTGTCGTGTCGTGTCCCAGCCCTGGTGTCCCTGGTGTCGTGTCGTGTCCCGGCCATGGTGTCGTGTCGTGCCCCTGGTGTCGTGTTCCGGCCCTGGTGTCGTGTCGTGCCGTGCCCCTGGTGTCGTGTCCGTGGTGTCGTGTCCCGGCCCTGGTGTCGTGTCCCGGCCCTGGTGTCGTGTCGTGTCGTGCCCTTCGTGTCGTGTCGTGTCGTGTCCCGGCCCTGGTGTCGTGTCGTGTCCCGGCCGTAGTGTCGTGTCGTGTCGTGCCCCTGGTGTCGTGTCCGTGGTGTCGTGTCCCGGCCCCGGTGTCGTGTCGTGTCCCGGCCCTGGTGTCGTGTCGTGTCCCGGCCCTAGTGTCGTGTCGTGTCCCGGCCCTGGTGTCGTGTCCCGGCCCTGGTGTCGTGTCGTGTCCCTGGTGTCGTGTCGTGTCCCTGGTGTCGTGTCGTGTCCCGGCCCTGGTGTCGTGTCGTGTCCCTGGTGTCGTGTCCCGGCCCTGGTGTCGTGTCGTGTCCCTGGTGTCGTGTCGTGTCCCGGCCCTGGTGTCGTGTCGTGTCCCGGCCCTGGTGTCGTGTCGTGTCCCGGCCCTGGTGTCGTGTCGTGTCCCTGGTGTCGTGTCGTGTCCCTGGTGTCGTGTCGTGTCCCGGCCCTGGTGTCGTGTCCCGGCCCTGGTGTCGTGTCGTGTCCCTGGTGTCGTGTCGTGTCCCTGGTGTCGTGTCGTGTCCCTGGTGTCGTGTCGTGTCCCGGCCCTGGTGTCGTGTCCCGGCCCTGGTGTCGTGTCGTGTCCCTGGTGTCGTGTCGTGTCCCTGGTGTCGTGTGGTGTCCCTGGTGTCGTGTGGTGTCCCTGGTGTCGTGTCGTGTCCCTGGTGTCGTGTCGTGTCCCTGGTGTCGTGTCCCGGCCCTGGTGTCGTGTCCCGGCCCTGGTGTCGTGTCGTATCCCAGCCCTGGTGTCGTGTCGTGTCCCTAGTGTCGTGTCGTGTCGTGTCCCTGGTGTCGTGTCCCGGCCCTGGTGTCGTGTCGTGTCCCGGCCCTGGTGTCGTGTCGTGTCCCTGGTGTCGTGTCCCGGCCCTGGTGTCGTGTCGTGTCCCGGCCCTGGTGTCGTGTCCCTGGTGTCGTGTCCCGGCCCTGGTGTCGTGTCCCGGCCCTGGTGTCGTGTCCCGGCCCTGGTGTCGTGTTCCTGGTGTCGTGTCGTGTCCCGGCCCTGGTGTCGTGTCGTGTCCCGGCCATGGTGTCGTGTCCCTGGTGGCGTGTCGTGTCTCGGCCCTGGTGTCGTGTCGTGTCCCGGCCCTGGTGTCGTGTCCCGGCCATGGTGTCGTGTCCCGGCCCTGGTGTCGTGTCGTGTCCCGGCCCTGGTGTCGTGTCGTATCCCAGCCCTGGTGTCCCTGGTGTCGTGTCGTGTCCCGGCCATGGTGTCGTGTCGTGCCCCTGGTGTCGTGTCCGGCCCTAGTGTCGTGTCGTGCCGTGCCCCTGGTGTCGTGTCCGTGGTGTCGTGTCCCGGCCCTGGTGTCGTGTCCCGGCCCTGGTGTCGTGTCGTGTCGTGCCCTTCGTGTCGTGTCGTGTCGTGTCCCGGCCCTGGTGTCGTGTCGTGTCCCGGCCGTAGTGTCGTGTCGTGTCGTGTCCCGGCCGTAGTGTCGTGTCGTGCCGTGCCCCTGGTGTCGTGTCCGTGGTGTCGTGTCCCGGCCCCGGTGTCGTGTCGTGTCCCGGCCCTGGTGTCGTGTCGTGTCCCGGCCCTGGTGTCGTGTCCCTGGTGTCGTGTCGTGTCCCTGGTGTCGTGTCGTGTCCCTGGTGTCGTGTCCCGGCCCTGGTGTCGTGTCGTGTCCCTGGTGTCGTGTCGTGTCCCGGCCCTGGTGTCGTGTCGTGTCCCTGGTGTCGTGTCCCGGCCCTGGTGTCGTGTCGTGTCCCTGGTGTCGTGTCGTGTCCCGGCCCTGGTGTCGTGTCGTGTCCCGGCCCTGGTGTCGTGTCGTGTCCCGGCCCTGGTGTCGTGTCGTGTCCCTGGTGTCGTGTCGTGTCCCTGGTGTCGTGTCGTGTCCCGGCCCTGGTGTCGTGTCCCGGCCCTGGTGTCGTGTCGTGTCCCTGGTGTCGTGTCGTGTCCCTGGTGTCGTGTCGTGTCCCTGGTGTCGTGTCGTGTCCCGGCCCTGGTGTCGTGTCCCGGCCCTGGTGTCGTGTCGTGTCCCTGGTGTCGTGTCGTGTCCCTGGTGTCGTGTGGTGTCCCTGGTGTCGTGTCGTGTCCCTGGTGTCGTGTCCCGGCCCTGGTGTCGTGTCGTATCCCAGCCCTGGTGTCGTGTCGTGTCCCTAGTGTCGTGTCGTGTCGTGTCCCTGGTGTCGTGTCCCGGCCCTGGTGTCGTGTCGTGTCCCGGCCCTGGTGTCGTGTCGTGTCCCTGGTGTCGTGTCGTGTCGTGTCCCTGGTGTCGTGTCCCGGCCCTGGTGTCGTGTCGTGTCCCGGCCCTGGTGTCGTGTCCGGCCCTGGTGTCGTGTCGTGTCCCGGCCCTGGTGTCGTGTCCCTGGTGTCGTGTCCCGGCCCTGGTGTCGTGTCCCGGCCCTGGTGTCGTGTCCCGGCCCTGGTGTCGTGTTCCTGGTGTCGTGTCGTGTCCCGGCCATGGTGTCGTGTCGTGTCCCGGCCATGGTGTCGTGTCCCTGGTGGCGTGTCGTGTCCCGGCCCTGGTGTCGTGTCGTGTCCCGGCCCTGGTGTCGTGTCCCGGCCATGGTGTCGTGTCCCTGGTGGCGTGTCGTGTCCCGGCCCTGGTGTCGTGTCGTATCCCAGCCCTGGTGTCCCTGGTGTCGTGTCGTGTCCCGGCCATGGTGTCGTGTCGTGCCCCTGGTGTCGTGTCCGGCCCTGGTGTCGTGTCGTGCCGTGCCCCTGGTGTCGTGTCCGTGGTGTCGTGTCCCGGCCCTGGTGTCGTGTCCCGGCCCTGGTGTCGTGTCGTGTCGTGCCCTTCGTGTCGTGTCGTGTCGTGTCCCGGCCCTGGTGTCGTGTCGTGTCCCGGCCGTAGTGTCGTGTCGTGCCGTGCCCCTGGTGTCGTGTCCGTGGTGTCGTGTCCCGGCCCCGGTGTCGTGTCGTGTCCCGGCCCTGGTGTCGTGTCGTGTCCCGGCCCTGGTGTCGTGTCCCTGGTGTCGTGTCGTGTCCCTGGTGTCGTGTCGTGTCCCTGGTGTCGTGTCCCGGCCCTGGTGTCGTGCCGTGTCCCTGGTGTCGTGTCGTGTCCCGGCCCTGGTGTCGTGTCGTGTCCCGGCCCTGGTGTCGTGTCGTGTCCCGGCCCTGGTGTCGTGTCGTGTCCCTGGTGTCGTGTCGTGTCCCTGGTGTCGTGTCGTGTCCCGGCCCTGGTGTCGTGTCCCGGCAGTCAACGTCTGAGCAACGAGCAGCTTCAAGCGTCAGGTCATTCGTCAAGCAGACGGTAAACATTCTGTTATCGTGAGAACTCCAGAAATACCGAGATGTTAAATAGGATCAAGGTCGCGGGGGGGGGGGGGGGGGGGTAGCATCTCAAATGTATGACAAAAATATATACACATCTTAAGGTCATATATATATATATATATATATATATATATATATATATATATATATATATATATATATATATATATATATATATATATATATATATATATATATATACATATATATATATATATATATATATATATATATATATATATATATATATATATATATATATATACAGACACGAATAATTTTTATGCTGCATCATATGTATTTGCCAGATGTTCATGTACCAGACGGTTCATTAACAAAAAGTCGCGGTGACCTTACCCGGATATGCCCGCTCGTTTCCCACAAACGTACACCCGAGTGTGCAGTTGTAAAACATGAACAATAATTCCTTGCAGAAGATAGACGTGGCGGGCTATTTATTACTTTTGTTGCCCACGCCTTGCTCCGCCCCTGATCAAGATATCCTCATCTATCTTTATCTAACTCAGCTTTTTTTTAAATTTTATTTCACACTTCTAACATCTCGTGTGCTTCAAGTCTGGAGTCAACTCACCTTTTTTAATTAGCCAATCAGCACTCGCTTTATTTGATTAGCCAATCAACTCTCGCTTTTTTGATTAGCCAATCAACTCTCGCTTTTTTTAATTAACTAATCAGCTCGACAATTTCTTGAGCTTGACATGTTACAAAATGACACAGTCAAACATGTCACAAAATGACACAGCCAAACATGTCACAAAATGACAGTCAAACATGTCACAAAATGACAGTCAAACATGTAATAAGCTAGCTCTGGCAGTAACACACACACTAACAATAACAAAGTAAGCTGTAACACTACCTGATGCCACTTACCGCAGAATTTCTGGAAGAAGCTTCGATTGTTGGTCAACACAAACGCCAAACTGGCAAGGCTACATCGTGACGTCATAAAAAAGGCAGCGTAAGTGATCTCGATTTTTAAAACTTCTTTAATTGTGACAGGTCACTACCTTTATTAAATGACCAAGTATTACAATCAGAGGCGTAGCGACCCTTCCCGGCGCCCGGGGACATACTTTCAATTTGGCGCCCCCCTCGGGAGCAAATTTTCGATTTGCACCCCCCCCCCCTTTAACTTTTCATTTGCACCCCCCCCCCTCAAACTTTCGATTTGCACCCCCCTTTGAACTTTTCATTTGCACCCCCCCCCCTCAAACTTTCGATTTGCACCCCCCCCCCCCCTCGAACTGCACCCCCCCCCCTCAAACTTTCAATTTGGCGCCCCCCCTAAGGTCGGCGCCCGGGGACATATGTCCCCCCGCCCCCCCCCCCCCTCGCTACGCCTCTGATTATAATCGGCAATACTGATTACATAATAAATACCAGATAACTTTCGCTATTTCTGCTTTTAGATCAAACACTGTTTAAAACTATTTTTAATTGTTTGACATTCAAACACTGTCTTTAAAACTGTTTTTAAAATCTTGACATTCAAACACTGTGTTTAAGTGCTTGACATTCAAACACTGTGTTTAAGCGCTTGACATTCAAACACTGAGTTTAAGTGCTTGACATTCAAACACTGTGTTTAAGCGCTTGATATTCAAACACTGTGTTTAAGTGCTTGATATTCAAACACAAATTAAGCGCTTGACATTCAAACACTGTGTTTAAGCGCTTGACATTGATGCTGTGTCTGACAGGAGCGACCCCTCGGGCCCGTTCTACTCCCAGATGAACCCACGCGAGGTGGCGCTGGTCGCAAAGAGCTACAATGGTCTACAGTTTGATCCTCGGGAATTTAAAGCCAACAGACAGGTCAAGGTTATCTTTATTTGGACAGTAGTATCCAGGTCAAGGTTATCTATATTTAGACAGTAACAGACAGGTCAAGGTTACCTTTATTTAGACAGCCACAGACAGGTCAAGGTTACCTTTATGTAGACAGTCACATATAGGTCAAGGTTATCTTTATTTAGACAGTCGCATATAGGTCAAGGTTACCTTTATTTATACAGCACCTGTCTAGAATACCTTTATTTAGAAAACTACCAAAGCAATACCTTCCTCACAAAACGTAGCGGACAGTGTTGTGTTAGTGAATGTTTTTATTTCATTAGTTGCGCAATAAGCGCATTCTATTTTGAAATAAATTAAAGGCAATTGTGCAATTAATATTTTTAAAGATGCGAACAATTGAAGAGGTCAAGCGAATCTTGAGGCTACCACCGGAGGAGCGAACAGACGACGAAATTCATTGTGTAAGTCGTTGACAAAAACATTGTGTAAGTTGTGGCAGTAGACACATGTCAAACGTTGACAAAAACATTGTGTAAGTAGTTGACAGAAACATTGTGTAAGTTGTAGCAGTAGACTAATGTCCACAGTTGACAAAAACATTGTGTAAGTAGTTGACAGAAACATTGTGTAAGTTGTAGCAGTAGACACATGTCAAACGTTGACAAAAACATTGTGTAAGTAGTTGACAGAAACATTGTGTAAGTTGTAGCAGTAGACACATGTCAAACGTTGACAAAAACATTGCGTAAGTAGTTGACAGAAACATTGTGTAAGTTGTAGCAGTAGACACATGTCAAACGTTGACAAAAACATTGTGTAAGTTGTAGCAGTATCCACATGTACACAGTTGACAAAAACACGCTAAAAGCCTTCCTATTTGTATAAATTATAGAAGCCCATACAATTTTACCTCCCCCACTAGGCGATGATAGGACTGAGAGGAATCAACTCAATAGCAGAGTACCCGGTGAGGATGCAGAGGTATTTGGCGCAATACGGAGCTATTGAATGGTTGGTTTCTAACATAAGTATAATACGGAGCTATTGAATGGTTGGTTTCTAACATAAGTATAATACGGAGCTATTGAATGGTTGGTTTCTAACATAAGTATAATACGGAGCTATTGAATGGTTGGTTTCTAACATAAGTATAATACGGAGCTATTGAATGGTTGGTTTCTAACATAAGTATAATACGGAGCTATTGAATGGTTGGTTTCTAACATAAGTATAATACGGAGCTATTGAATAGTTGGTTTCTAACACAACTACTTCATGTGTGCAGTCTTGTTTTAGGGGTGGTGTGTCCTTGGTTATCATGTCTTAGGGTGTGGTATATCCTGGGTTTTAGGGTGTGGTATATCCTGGGTTATCATATCTCCAGAGCTTTATTTTTTTAAACTCAAGACATTGAAAATTTGATTGTGTATTTTTAAATCACTTTTTTTTTTTATAATCTCGCTCTCTTTGATTAAAATAAAAATTAAGTTAACTACACACTACACATAGCTAAGATAACTACGCACTATTTAAAAACAACTGAGGTAACTACGCACTTTTTAAAAACAACTGAGGTAACTACGCACTATTTAAAAACAACTGAGGTAACTACGCACTTTTTAAAAACAACTGAGGTAACTACGTACTATTTAAAAACAACTGAGGTAACTACGCACTATTTAAAAACAATTGAGGTAACTACGCACTATTTAAAAACAACTGAGGTAACTACGCACTATTTAAAAACAACTGAGGTAACTACGCACTATTTAAAAACAATTGAGGTAACTACGCACTATTTAAAAACAACTGAGGTAACTACGCACTATTTAAAAACAATTGAGGTAACTACGCACTATTTAAAAACAACTGAGGTAACTACGCACTATTTAAAAACAACTGAGGCAACTACGCACTATTTAAAAACAACTGAGGTAACTACGCACTATTTAAAAACAACTGAGGTAACTACGCACTATTTAAAAACAACTGAGGTAACTACGCACTATTTGAAACGTAATTAGCCTGCTTGTTTACACGCCAGCAAAAACACGGTTTAAATCAATTTCTAGTTAAGCGCAGTTTAAAAAAAACAGCACACAAACCTGTTGTATTAAAGTTTAATTAAAACCCTACACGCTTTCAAATGTTCCAAACATTTATAATTTCAGAAAGTTTAAAACATTTTTGTTTTTCTAATTTCCGTTTTCAAATGCATTCGGCCTAAGCTGCCAATGAGTATCCGACAGTAATAAGAATTTTGCAACAAAGCAAAATAAAGTTCCCTACATTTGCAAAAATAAAAACGTTTTTTTTCTGCCATGTCAACTTAGATCTAGATCCCTAGAAAAAAAAAAAACAAGATTAAACGTCAACTTTCATTGCAGAAAAATATAAACATCTAATTTCGTAAAGTAAAACAATTTTGAATGCTTGGAGGCTTAGTTAGTTTTCCATCAGTAACGCCACATTTTTGCTTGCACATTCAGAGGCGTAGCGTTCTTTACTGGCGCCCGGGGCGGACTATCAATTTTGTGCCCCCTCCCTCCCATTTCTATATAAAGTTACTCCTGTCTGTGAAAAAGTTGGAAAGGTTTGTGGCGCTTCTTACCAGTTACAAACTATCAACGTTTTTTATTTCGGTGCCACACATTGGATATAGAAAACAGTCAAATCAGTGTGTAAAGCCTTGTTGTCGTCTATTTTCGTCACTTTGACTGTGTATAATTCAATACTTCAGCCTACTAAAAGTAGCTTTTAAAAATTAATTTTTCTACCCCTTTTGGCGCCCCCTTAGGGTTAGCGCCGGGGCTGCCGCCCCATCCTTCCTCCCCTAGCTACGCCACTGTGCACATTGCTAGTGCTAGCTTACATTTGTCGACATCAGCAATACAACATGACAGTGGCGCCACTATGTCGGGTGATTCTTGCTACTGTCTGACAACCCCCCCCCCCCCCCCCGTACCCCCACCGTGAGAAAACATTAAACGTTAAAAAAACATTAGCTCAAATCGATACATAAATGCGCACGACAGACAACTTTCGATGAGCATCATGTAATCTTGTGTCGGTTGTTGCCATTAACGTGAAAGCAAACAAGCTCAAACGTTTTGTCTACTTGATAGACGATCTAATTATCTTAATAATCAACATCTATTCATACACAGGTACCGTAGCTCCCGATATAGACAAATATATGCTATAACCAGTATCCGCCCCCTCCCCCGGAGAAAAAAAAAGTCTGAAAGAAACATTGTTAGTATATCTTACATGGACGTCAATAGTATTGACGGATGCCCTTTAGTCGCAAAAAATATTTAGTAACGCCTACATTTTTATGTTGGGCGAAAATTCGATTAAACAAAAATTGTAGGCTCGTTTAAAAAAACTAAGAATAAATTTAATCGCGGGCTGCTATTTAACCAGTCACATAAAAACTCCCTGCTTTTTCTGGGGATTTTTTGCATGTCACATTGTACTTTCATTGTTCCAATTGTTGTCACATTGTCATTTCATTTGTCTAACAGTTATGATGCCAGGAGGGTAATTATAAAACAAGGAAGAGTTCCTGAAGCCTTTTATTACATTCTGTATGGGCGGGGTAAGTCGATCTATTACATTCTGTATGAGGGGGGGGGGGGTAAGCCGATCTATGACATTCTGTATGTGTGGGGTAAGTCGATCTATTACATTCTGTATGGGCGGGGTAAGTCGATCTATTACATTCTGTATGGGCGGGGTAAGTCGATCTATTACATTCTGTATGGGCGGGGTAAGTCGATCTATTACATTCTGTATGGGCGGGGTAAGTCGATCTATTACATACTGTAGAGGGGGGGGGGTTAAGTTTATAAAGTGTTTACAGTACATTAATTGCTCTTACATCTTGTTGATTGCATAACTATGTAATTTTCACTGCTTTATCCCACATCCGTTGGTCCGTCCAACTTAATGACTGTATTTTCCCCCAATAGTAATAGTAGCGGTCAAGGATGACGTCACAGGCCGGGTTGAGATGAAATGTTACCTTCAGAGAGGTCATTTTTTTGGGGTACGTTACCTTCAGAGAGGTCATTTCTTTGGGGTAAGTTAACTTCAGAGAGGTAATTTTTTTGGGGTCAGTTAACTTCAGAGAGGTCATTTCAATGGGGTAAGTTACCTTCGGAAAGGTCATTTTTTTGGGGTAAGTTACCTTCAGAGAGGTCATTTCTGTGGGTAAGTTAACTTAAGAGAGGTCATTTCAATGGGGTAAGTTACATTCGGAGAGGTCGTTTCTTTGGGGTAAGTTAACTAAAACAATATTGTTTTGGAAATTTTCCATTAAAAAAAAAAAGAATAATTTAATGATTGTTAATCTTCACTGAATTAGGAAATCGCAATCATTCAAGGAAGTTGTAGACAGTCTTCTGTGATGACAGCAAGTTACACTGAATTGTTGAGTTTATCTAAAAACGTGAGTCACCATAGGTTTTATCAAACCAGTCACCAGTAGGTTTTATCAGACCAGTCAACAGTAGGTTTTATCAGACCAGTCACCAGTAGGTTTTATCAGACCAGTCACCAGTAGGTTTTATCAGACCAGTCACCAGTAGGTTTTAACAGACAAGTCACCAGTAGACGTTTCGCTGCCACTGACCTAGGCTTATGGTTGTTGCAGGCTTGTTAAGTGCCACTAATGTTTGTTTCCTCCCCAAGTGTCAACTAATGTTTGTTTCCTCCCCAAGTGCCACTAATGTTTGTTTCCTCCCCAAGTGTCACTAATGTTTGTTTCCTCCCCAAGTGTCACTAATGTTTGTTTCCTCCCCAAGTGTCACTAATGTTTGTTTCCTCCCCAAGTGTCAACTAATGTTTGTTTCCTCCCCAAGTGTCAACTAATGTTTGTTTCCTCCCCAAGTGTCACTAATGTTTGTTTCCTCCCCAAGTGTCAACTAATGTTTGTTTCCTCCCCAAGTGCCACTAATGTTTGTTTCCTCCCCAAGTGCCACTAATGTTTGTTTCCTCCCCAAGTGTCAACTAATGTTTGTTTCCTCCCCAAGTGTCAACTAATGTTTGTTTCCTCCCCAAGTGCCACTAATGTTTGTTTCCTCCCCAAGTGTCAACTAATGTTTGTTTCCTCCCCAAGTGTCAACTAATGTTTGTTTCCTCCCCAAGTGCCACTAATGTTTGTTTCCTCCCCAAGTGTCAACTAATGTTTGTTTCCTCCCCAAGTGTCAACTAATGTTTGTTTCCTCCCCAAGTGTCACTAATGTTTGTTTCCTCCCCAAGTGTCACTAATGTTTGTTTCCTCCCCAAGTGCCACTAATGTTTGTTTCCTCCCCAAGTGCCACTAATGTTTGTTTCCTCCCCAAGTGTCACTAATGTTTGTTTCCTCCCCAAGTGTCAACTAATGTTTGTTTCCTCCCCAAGTGTCAACTAATGTTTGTTTCCTCCCCCAGTGCCACTACTAATGTTTGTTTCCTCCCCAAGTGTCACTAATGTTTGTTTCCTCCCCAAGTGTCAACTAATGTTTGTTTCCTCCCCAAGTGCCACCACTAATGTTTGTTTCCTCCCCAAGTGTCACTAATGTTTGTTTCCTCCCCAAGTGTCAACTAATGTTTGTTTCCTCCCCAAGTGTCACTAATGTTTGTTTCCTCCCCAAGTGTCAACTAATGTTTGTTTCCTCCCCAAGTGTCAACTAATGTTTGTTTCCTCCCCAAGTGTCAACTAATGTTTGTTTCCTCCCCCAGTGCCACTACTAATGTTTGTTTCCTCCCCAAGTGTCACTAATGTTTGTTTCCTCCCCAAGTGTCAACTAATGTTTGTTTCCTCCCCAAGTGCCACCACTAATGTTTGTTTCCTCCCCAAGTGTCACTAATGTTTGTTTCCTCCCCAAGTGTCAACTAATGTTTGTTTCCTCCCCAAGTGTCACTAATGTTTGTTTCCTCCCCAAGTGTCAACTAATGTTTGTTTCCTCCCCAAGTGTCAACTAATGTTTGTTTCCTCCCCAAGTGTCAACTAATGTTTGTTTCCTCCCCAAGTGTCACTAATGTTTGTTTCCTCCCCAAGTGTCACTAATGTTTGTTTCCTCCCCAAGTGCCACTAATGTTTGTTTCCTCCCCAAGTGTCAACTAATGTTTGTTTCCTCCCCAAGTGTCACTAATGTTTGTTTCCTCCCCAAGTGTCAACTAATGTTTGTTTCCTCCCCAAGTGTCACTAATGTTTGTTTCCTCCCCAAGTGCCACTAATGTTTGTTTCCTCCCCAAGTGTCAACTAATGTTTGTTTCCTCCCCAAGTGTCACTAATGTTTGTTTCCTCCCCAAGTGTCACTAATGTTTGTTTCCTCCCCAAGTGTCACTAATGTTTGTTTCCTCCCCAAGTGTCAACTAATGTTTGTTTCCTCCCCAAGTGTCAACTAATGTTTGTTTCCTCCCCAAGTGCCACTAATGTTTGTTTCCTCCCCAAGTGCCACTAATGTTTGTTTCCTCCCCAAGTGTCACTAATGTTTGTTTCCTCCCCAAGTGCCACTAATGTTTGTTTCCTCCCCAAGTGTCACTAATGTTTGTTTCCTCCCCAAGTGCCACTAATGTTTGTTTCCTCCCACAGGAGTTCGAGAAATATTTCATGGTTGGAGGCGTCAAAAACATCAACGACCCGGATCACAATAGCTTTGTTAAGTATGGGCTCAATAGCTTTGTTAAGTATGGGCTCAATAGCTTTGTTCAGAATGGACACAATAGCTTTCTTACGTATGGACTTAATAGCTTTGTTAAGTATGAACTCAATAGCTTTATTAAGTATGGACTTAATAGCTTTGTTAAGTATGAACTCATTAGCTTTATTAAGCATGGACTCAATAGCTCTTCAAATCAAACAAAGTGGATGTAAATTAAAGTTTTTCTATCAGTAATAATTTTTTTAATGGAATTGTTTAAGGAGTGAGAATCTCGGGACAAAAATGATCCACGGGAATTTGTTCTCTGCAGGTCCCTCCACTTCCTCAAGGACTGGCCGCTGGAACTTATTTTATCTGGAACTACAGATCACAAACATGTTGCCTTTGGCTATTTCAAGTAAGTCTTCTGTACAACCATTGCACTATTTCAAGTAAGTCTTCTGTACAACCATTGAACTAATTCAAGTAAGTCTTCTGTACAACCATTGAACTATTTCAATTAAGTCTTTACTCAATTCTGTACAACCATTGAACTATTTCAAGTAAGTCTTCACTCAATTCTGTACAACCATTGAACTATTTCAAGTAAGTCTTTACTCAATTCTGTACAACCATTGAACTATTTCAAGTAAGTCTTCACTCAATTCTGTACAACCATTGAACTATTTCAAGTAAGTCTTTACTCAATTCTGTACAACCATTGAACTATTTCAAGTAAGTCTTCTGTACAACCATTGAACTATTTCAAGTAAGTCTTTACTCAATTCTGTACAACCATTGAACTATTTTGTTTAATAGAGCATCTAAAAGTAATTTTTATTTAACACAATGAGGACAATGACGCTACCTCTCTTAAGTTGTACTTCGTCGACAATAGTGTTGATGCTAGGACTCTTGACTAAGGCAATCTTAAACGTCCCTTTTATTTGCATTGTTTTTAGTTTTCTGTTTAAATCGATGATTATAAAAAGGTCTCTAAATAAAAATAAAAACTACAACAACAAAAAAAAAGGTGAGCTGTGGTATTGATGTGTAACATAGAAATGATGTGTATAGTACTAGTAGGCTATGGGTGTGTAGCACATAGAATTGATGTGTAAATTACTAGTAGGGTGTGTAACATAGTCCCATGTGATTTTGAAGGCGCGGCTCTGTTCTAGTGAAGGACAGCAACTTCTCGGACTGGCTCATCGTTGTCAAATCTGTAAGTTGTCATTGGTGTTGTCTGTCATAGATGTTGTCTGTCATTGATGTTGTCTGTCATTTGTGTTGTCTGTCATTGGTGTTGTCTGTCATTGGTGTCGTCTGATATTGGTGTTGTCTGTCGTAGGTGTTGTCTGTCATTGGTGTTGTCTGTCATAGCTATTGTCTTTCATAGATGTCTGTCATAGATTTGTCTGTCATTTGTGTCGTCTGTCATTGGTGTTGTCTGTCATTGGTGTTGTATGACAGGTCGCACAGGATGTTAAACACCCCTATGTTGTGACCACGTCTGACTGAAAGAAATCAAACCTTTGTCCCAGGGTTCGTTGACCGTGATGAAAAAGTTGCTTCAACCAGCCGTGGGTAGAACAGCTGGGCGGGTCAAGTCACGCATCAATTCATCCAGGTGAGTCACGCATCAATTCATCCAGGTGAGTCACGCATCCATTCATCCAAGTGAATCAAGCTGCTGGTGTGTTCAGGTGAAACCATGGGCAGTTGTAATAACCCCAAGATTTGTGTTGCCAGGGATACACGAGAAGGTCAGCTGGGGTCAAGCTTCGTCTGCAGCAAGTCACGTGCCAGTCGAGAGGATAGACGGGATAGGTGCTCAGCTCAGCCAATCAAAACACTTGTTACTGGACGCTGGTCAAACGAGAAAAGATTGGAGGTCGGAAAGTTTTTGATCATTCGGTGCATCGGACACTTTCATACATCTCAATATCTCTCATACACATACAATCTGGGTAATTAAGTGATGGAGGTCTACTTCACACCTGACACATCATACATACAGTTACAGTGATGTATCGATGTATCTCACACACATACTAGACCTTCATCCACCTCAGTCAAGATTTGATGTCCTGTCCTATATACTCTAAACCTGACTCTCCTAAAACCTGATTGTCCTAAAACCTGACTGTCTAAAACCTGACTCCCCTAAAACCTGACTCTCCTAAAACCTGACTCTCCTAAAACCTGACTCTCCTAAAACCTGACTCTCCTAAAATCTGACTCCTAATAATAATCATTAAAAAAGTTTTTAAAAACCCACGTTTTCTGATTGAACTAAAAAGTAGAAAATAATTGCTATACATCACAATAATGCAAGCGATCACTCTACTATAAGCGATGAAAAACGTGGGGCGCCGAAGTAAAAGTTATATTACTATTGATTAGATAATACTATTGACTTTTATTAGGGAGCTTGTAGAGAGTCAACAGTATTAGAAACTGTAAGAAAATCACGGCGCCCCACGTTTTTGATCGCGCGCTAGCTAACTGGGAAGTGCCCGAAATATCGATCGCAAGATTTGATTGGAGAACCAAACAGACGCGAAAGCAAGTTAAAGAAAACGTGGGAAAATATGACTCTCCCAAAACCTGACTCTCCTAAAACTTGACTCCCCTAAAACCTGACTCTCCTAAAACCTGACAACTTACCAGTCTGCTGGAACATGTCCTAATGAGTTCAACTTTTGTGTCCTGACAGAGCTTACCTGTCAAATCACCTGAAGAAATTTACCTGAAGGCTAAACCAGGTAATGACTGACAGCATTCTGACGAGAGCAACACTGGCACAGTGATAGTACATGACATCGGTACATGACATCAGTACATGACATCAATACATGACATCAGTACATGACATCGGTACATGACATCAGTACATGACATCAGTACATGACATCAGTACATGACATATCAACACTGGATCAGTGACAGTACATGACATCGGTACATGACATCGGTACATGACATCGGTACATGACATCGGTACATGACATCTGTACATGACATCGGTACATGACATCGGTACATGACATCTGTACATGACATCGGTACATGACATCGGTACATGACATCGGTACATGACATCGGTACATGACATCGGTACATGACATCTGTACATAACATCCGTACATGACATCGGTACATGACATCTGTACATGACATCTGTACATGACATCTGTACATGACATCGGTACATGACATCTGTACATGACGTCTGTACATGACATCGGTACATGACATCGGTACATGACATCTGTACATGACATCAGAACATGACATCAGTACATGACATCAGTACATGACATCAGTACATGACATCAGTACATGACATCAGTACATGACATCGGTACATGACATCTGTACATGACATCAGAACATGGCATCAATACATGCCACCAGTACATGACATCTGTACATGACATCAGTACATGGCATCAATACATGACATCAGTACATGACATCTGTACATGACATCAGTACATGGCATCAATACATGACATCAGTACATGACATAAGTACATGACATCAGTACATGACATCAGTACTGGACATATCAACACTAGATCAGTGACAGTACTTGACGGAAGACTTTTTTTTAAAATATAAGTTACATAACTAATACCCTTACCAGATTCTTGTTTGGACTCTAACGTTAAATGTTAGTACTTACACAACCTACATACAACATTACTCTGCTTATAACGCCATCAGATCGTTCCGCTTCATTGGATTTCTCCAACAATGACGTCATCCAGGTGGAAGATAAAATGACATTCCTGGATTACCTCGACTCGGCCTACAACAAAAGGGTAGGTTTCTCCACACGCAACCTTAAACTTGTCACAAGGGTAGGTTTCTCCACTCGCAACCTTAAACCTGTCACAAGGGTAGGTTTCTCCAATCGCAACCCCAAACCTGTCCAACCTGTTAGAAGGGTAGGTTTCTCCACTCGCAACCCTAAACCTGTCGAAAGGGTAGGTTTCTCCACTCGCAACCCTAAACCTGTCGAAAGGGTAGGTTTCTCCACTCGCAACCCTAAACCTGTCGAAAGGGTAGGTTTCTCCACTCGCAACCCTAAGCTGTCCAACCTGTCACAAGGGTAGGTTTCTCCACTCGCAACCCTAAGCTGTCCAACCTGTCAGAAGTGTAGGTTTCTTGTTAACGTATAATTTTGTATTTCAGCCCCCCTTAGCAACCGTTAACGTGTAATTTTGTATTTCAGCCCCCCTTAGCGACCGTTAACGTGTAATTTTGTATTTCAGCCCCACTTAGCGACCGTTAACGTGTAATTTTGTATTTCAGCCCCACTTAGCGACCGTTAACGTGTAATTTTGTATTTCAGCCCCACTTAGCGACCGTTAACGTGTAATTTTGTATTTCAGCCCCACTTAGCGAACGTGTATTTTTGTATTTCAGCCCCACTTAGCGACCGTGTAACTTTGTATTTCAGCCCCACTTAGCGAACGTGTAATTTTTTATTTCAGCCCTTCTTATCGAACGTGTAATTTTGTATTTCAGCCCCACTTAGCGAACGTGTAATTTTGTATTTCAGCCCCACTTAGCGAACGTGTAATTTTGTATTTCAGCCCCACTTAGCGACCGTTAACGTGTAATTTTGTATTTCAGCCCCACTTAGCGACCGTTAACGTATAATTTTGTATTTCAGCCCCACTTAGCGACCGTTAACGTATAATTTTGTATTTCAGCCCCACTTAGCGAACGTGTAATTTTGTATTTCAGCCCCACTTAGCGAACGTGTAATTTTGTATTTCAGCCCCACTTAGCGACCGTTAACGTGTAATTTTGTATTTCAGCCCCACTTAGCGAACGTGTAATTTTGTATTTCAGCCCCACTTAGCGAACGTGTAATTTTGTATTTCAGCCCCACTTAGCGACCGTTAACGTGTAATTTTGTATTTCAGCCCCACTTAGCGACCGTTAACGTGTAATTTTGTATTTCAGCCCCACTTAGCGACCGTTAACGTGTAATTTTGTATTTCAGCCCCACTTAGCGAACGTGTATTTTTGTATTTCAGCCCCACTTAGCGACCGTGTAACTTTGTATTTCAGCCCCACTTAGCGAACGTGTAATTTTGTATTTCAGCCCCACTTAGCGACCGTTAACGTGTAATTTTGTATTTCAGCCCCACTTAGCGACCGTTAACGTATAATTTTGTATTTCAGCCCCACTTAGCGACCGTTAACGTATAATTTTGTATTTCAGCCCCACTTAGCGAACGTGTAATTTTGTATTTCAGCCCCACTTAGCGAACGTGTAATTTTGTATTTCAGCCCCACTTAGCGACCGTTAACGTGTAATTTTGTATTTCAGCCCCACTTAGCGAACGTGTAATTTTGTATTTCAGCCCCACTTAGCGAACGTGTAATTTTGTATTTCAGCCCCACTTAGCGACCGTTAACGTGTAATTTTGTATTTCAGCCCCACTTAGCGACCGTTAACGTGTAATTTTGTATTTCAGCCCCACTTAGCGACCGTTAACGTGTAATTTTGTATTTCAGCCCCACTTAGCGAACGTGTATTTTTGTATTTCAGCCCCACTTAGCGACCGTGTAACTTTGTATTTCAGCCCCACTTAGCGAACGTGTAATTTTGTATTTCAGCCCTTCTTATCGAACGTGTAATTTTGTATTTCAGCCCCACTTAGCGAACGTGTAATTTTGTATTTCAGCCCCACTTAGCGAACGTGTAATTTTGTATTTCAGCCCCACTTAGCGACCGTTAACGTGTAATTTTGTATTTCAGCCCCACTTAGCGACCGTTAACGTATAATTTTGTATTTCAGCCCCACTTAGCGACCGTTAACGTATAATTTTGTATTTCAGCCCCACTTAGCGAACGTGTAATTTTGTATTTCAGCCCCACTTAGCGAACGTGTAATTTTGTATTTCAGCCCCACTTAGCGACCGTTAACGTGTAATTTTGTATTTCAGCCCCACTTAGCGAACGTGTAATTTTGTATTTCAGCCCCACTTAGCGAACGTGTAATTTTGTATTTCAGCCCCACTTAGCGACCGTTAACGTGTAATTTTGTATTTCAGCCCCACTTAGCGACCGTTAACGTGTAATTTTGTATTTCAGCCCCACTTAGCGACCGTTAACGTGTAATTTTGTATTTCAGCCCCACTTAGCGAACGTGTATTTTTGTATTTCAGCCCCACTTAGCGACCGTTAACGTGTAACTTTGTATTTCAGCCCCACTTAGCGACCGAGGCAGACACCAGTCCACAGTTTGTGATTTTACAAACACTTACCAAAGGAGCTGTGTTTGTGAGTTGATAAGCTTAGCTGATGATATCATCATTGTCATCACGTGCTCAGTTATTGACGTCATAGTGTATCACGTGGTCAGATATTACGGTGTATGTGATCAGTGGTATATCACGTAATGAATTGCTGACGTCATGGAGTATCATGTAGTCAGCTATTTTATTGTATCAATGTATCAAACAATTATCCTCACTGTGTCATATTTATCTATTCTCGACTGGTCAGTCAAACAAAATGGGATCAATCCGGAGAACGGAAATATTTAACGGTGTTAAACTTTTTCACTGTTAAACCGGTTGAATTGTGGGCGGGGACTGTTAAACTGGTTAAACGGTGGGCTGAGGCTGTTAAAAAAGGTTGAACGTTGAGCGAGGGTTTAAAGGGGTCATGAGTGTGGTTTAAAGGGGTCATGAGTGTGGTTTAAAGGGGTCATGAGTGTGGTTTAAAGGGGTCATGAGTGTGGTTTAAAGGGGTCATGAGTGTGGTTTAAAGGGGTCATGAGTCTGGTTTACCATGAAGCTGACGACTGACTTCTCCATTGACCCAGGGGCTGGCACAGTGCCTGTTTCCTGAGCAGCCAAGCATGGCGGTGGTCAGCAACGGAGCCGACTGTTTGATGATCAGCAAAAAGTTGTTCCTGAGTCACGCATCGCCGGACATGATGCGCAGATTGCGAGTGGAGGTTAGTGTGACGTGTCTGGTGCTTTATACTGCCCGTATGTGTGCTCTATATTGCCCGTATGTGTGATGATTACTGCCCGTATGTGTGGTCATTACTGCCCTTATGTCTGGTGCTGACTGCCCTTATGTCTGGTGCTGACTGCCCTTATGTCTGGTGCTGACTGCCCGTATGTCTGGTGCTGACTGCCCTTATGTCTGGTGCTGACTGCCCTCTACAACTGAGCTCCCCTCCCCAGGTCTCCCCCTACCCCAGTGCCAGCAAGCTGCAAGAAGACCTGGTGACCCGCGTCCAGTGGGAGACCTACAAGCTCGCGCTGGTCGGACAGCTGGTGGACAAACGTAGGTCCAAAGTCCAAGCCGTGAACTATTTATAGCACAGTGTAACCCTGCTTGCCATAGGCCTAACGCTGAGTGTTGATACAAGTCATAGAATGGGGCTTGTCACATGTTGATAAAGTCATAGAGAGGAGCTTGTCATATGACATTTAGCTCTCATGAGATAGACTAACCGCTTGACCAGCGAGACACTGACCTATGACCTTTAGCTTATGTTTGTCTTTTTACCTACCTCACGACTAGAGAAATGTGACGTCAGTAGCTGAATGCTGAAAATGTGACGTCAGTAGCTGAATGCTGAAAATGTGACGTCAGTAGCTGAATGCTGATAATCTGTGTTTAGCGGTCCTGTTTTCACCTGTGTCAAGACAAATGTATGGCAGAGTTTCTTCCAGGCATCTCTTCGTCCCCCCCCCCCCCCCGGAGAAAAAAGTCTGGAAGAAACACTGGTGTATGGCTAACTCATCTTATATCCCCCCCCCCTTTCTTTATATCACCCTCACCAGCAGGCTAGTTGGGATTCGATCCCGTGCCATTAGTGTTATCACGAGGGAGCTAATCAACAGTGAATAGACACATCACGTGATCATTTCATTCGTAACAGTTCACTGGCCATTGACAACATGTGACAGTGACGTCATAGAGAATCCTTTATACAATGAGATTGTAATGTAAACAGTGTTTCTTCCAGACTTTTTTCTCGGGGGGGGGGCACTTGAAATTTTCGGGGTGGGGGGTGGGCGGACACTTTTAAAAGTATATATTTTCTATATAAATTCCATTTCGTTCGGGGGGGGAGGCGGTAGACTCTCTTCATGGGGGGGGGGGGGGGAGTCTGGAAGAAACACTGAATGTAAACTGTAAAACGTTTTCATCGATCAAGTTAAAGTGGAGCTGGGTAGTTTTATACTGTAGGCCTATACGTGTTTTGTTACATCATTCGTTCCATACCTTTTTATTTTAGCGTGTTTGAAAATATTATTGTTGTTTACATAATAAAACAGAATCGATTATAAGGATTAAAAAACAAATGCAGCAAAGTGTAATGTTGTTTTTTAAATAGCTTCTCTCACCCCTCCCTCTCCACCACCTCTCTCTCTCTCTCTCTCACACACACACACACACACACACACGCGCGCATAATTTATGAAATTGAACGAATGAATGATAAAGAGATTTTTAAAAAAAAAATCACTTCTGCACAGTAAGAAAAATCAACACTCAGACCAGACCATGATGAGCAGATAAAATCGAGTTCTCTTTCCTTTGGTCTGCGTATGGGTTAGGGTGATGTTGGCCTGCGTATGGGTAAGGGTGATGTGGTCTTAGTGTTATCTCCAGCCGCCTTTCTCTCCCCGTCTCAAGTCAGGTACTTATTAAAGCTGAGTGAGCTCAGTGACGTCATACAGGTCAGGTGCCTAACAGAGCTGGGGGAACTCAATGACGTTTGGTAAAAATACCAAACCCAAATGTTTTTTCAGTAAACATTGTAAGAACGGTGTGTATTACAATCCAATAATTGTATGAATGCTTTAAAACAGGGAACAGAGTGGGGGGGGGATAGTTTGACGCACATTGTGTGGTGTTGGGCAGTGATGTTGTATGACGAGACACAACTCTACAGTAATGTTGTATGGTGAGACATAATTCTACAGTAATGTTGTATGGTGAGACATAATTCTACAGTAATGTTGTATGGTGAGACATAATTCTACAGTAATGTTGTAATTGTATGGCGAGACATAATTCTGCAGTAATGTTGTATGGTGAGACACAATTCTACAGTAATGTTGTATGATGAGACACAATTCTACCGTAATGTTTTATGGCGAGACATAATTCTACAGTAATGTTGTATGGTGATTCAAAATTCTACAGTAATGTTGTATGATGAGACACAATTCTACAGTAATGTTGTATGGTGAGACACAATTCTACAGTAATGTTGTATGGTGGAAGATGTGACACAAGTATTTAGTAATGTATGTTGTTGACATTTGACATCTCGCCTACATATCACATATGTAACCTTCCTAACATCACATATTACATAGGTATGTGCCAGAAAGAATACCCATTCCGCTAGTCTACAGAGTGACTCAAGTACCTCCATCTTTTGGGTAGTGCTGGGGTCGATACTGGTGCCTGGGGTGATGCTGAAGGATATAGAACTAGATGTGTGTGATGACAGACAGATTTGTGCTGGATGACAGACACATTTGTACATGATGACAGACAGCTAGATGGCTACCCTGATGGCACAGGGCTAATTGAACTTTGACCTCTCGAGGTTTTAGATGAGATTATTTTTCAGCCATTGGATCTTGAGGCAACTGGATGTTTTATAAGCCGATACAACTTACTAAAAATCCCAGTAAAGTTACCAAAATGTTATGAACTTCCCGATAAAACACAACTAACTCGGTATCTTAAAATACTTCCCCAACAATATTCTTTCCTGGTTAAATTACCTTCGCGGGAATGTTTAGAGATTCTGAGCTTTCAGTTCCTGCTTCAGTTTGCCCAATCTTTCGCTTGACTATGCCCAATTGTTTGCATGAATATGTCGAAAGTTTCGTATTTCGAATGTGTTCGATTGTTCCCATAATTTATTAATGTCTCCCATTGTTCGCACGAATGTGTTCGATTGTTCCCATAATTTATTAATGTCTCCTATTGTCCGCACGAATGTGTTCGATTGTTCCCATAACTTATTAATGTCTCCCATTGTCCGCACGAATGTGTTTGATTGTTCCCATAATTTATTAATGTCTACCATTGTCCGCACGAATGTGTTTGATTGTTCCCATAATTTATTAATGTCTCCCATTGTCTGCACGAATGTGTTCGATTGTTCCCATAATTTATTAATGTCTCCCATTGTCCGCACGAATGTGTTCGATTGTTCCCATAATTTATTAATGTCTCCCATTGTCTGCACGAATGTGTTCGATTGTTCCCATAATTTATTAATGTCTCCCATTGTCCGCACGAATGTGTTTGATTGTTCCCATAATTTATTAATGTCTCCCATTGTTCGCACGAATGTGTTCGATTGTTCCCATAATTTATTAATGTCTCCTATTGTCCGCACGAATGTGTTCGATTGTTCCCATAACTTATTAATGTCTCCCATTGTCCGCACGAATGTGTTTGATTGTTCCCATAATTTATTAATGTCTACCATTGTCCGCACGAATGTGTTTGATTGTTCCCATAATTTATTAATGTCTCCCATTGTCTGCACGAATGTGTTCGATTGTTCCCATAATTTATTAATGTCTCCCATTGTCCGCACGAATGTGTTCGATTGTTCCCATAATTTATTAATGTCTCCCATTGTCTGCACGAATGTGTTCGATTGTTCCCATAATTTATTAATGTCTCCCATTGTCCGCACGAATGTGTTTGATTGTTCCCATAATTTATTAATGTCTACCATTGTCCGCACGAATGTTTTTGATTGTTCCCATAATTTATTAATGTCTCCAATAGTCCGCACGAATGTGTTCGATTGTTCCCATAATTTATTAATGTCTCCCATTGTCTGCACGAATGTGTTCGATTGTTCCCATAATTTATTAATGTCTCCCATTGTCTGCACGAATGTGTTCGATTGTTCCCATAATTTATTCATGTCTCCCATTGTCCGCACGAATGTGTTTGATTGTTCCCATAATTTATTAATGTCTCCCATTGTCCGCACGAATGTGTTCGATTGTTCCCATAATTTAGCAGATAAGTTTTGGACAGCGGTTTATAAGATTTTATCCTGTAATAAGTTATTTAAAATCTAGTTAAGTCATATTTAATATAATGCATTGTTATCTAGTCTTTATCTATGTGATAAGTTTGAAAGAAATATTTTCGGTATAAGTGGTCAAAATTTTGTTCGCAAGTTTCCGCTCATGACAGACGATTGACAGAAGAATCAAGATAAATAAATTCGGAAACAATAGTATTTCGACCACTTCCTGAGCTGTTATCGGTTGTTTAGAAAACAGAAATGAAGGACCACTTTCAGGAAGTCACTCAAAAATTGAAAATAATCTAATTATAAGATCTGATACTTATACATGAAACTTCGTTTACCTAAATGAAACAAAATTCTAAAACAGAGTTAAGTACCACTTCCGGTTACCGGAAATCACTAAAAATTTGAAAGTTACCAGCGCTTACAATGAAATACTTCTTTATGAAATTTCGTCAACTTAACTTAATCGGTTGTCAAGTTATTTGCTTTTGAGAAACCGAAAGTGAGTAAGTTGATAGTGATCTACAAATTTTATATAATACTTATATTATAAAGTGATATATGAACTTTCTTTAACATAACTGAAACGGATCCCCGAGTTATCGTGTTCACAGACACACAGGCAAAATTGCGAAACTAAGTTTTCCGACTCGGGACAAAAAAAACAACAACAAATTGAGTTTTTGACAAATTTTAATCTCAACCCGTCTACTTCATATAAAAATGGCCAAGATGACTAGCTTTGAACCTGCTTATTTTTATAATTATTATCATATGAGTGAACTATCAATTGTTATGGCGCTTTTATGGGGATTGCTAAAAGTATTATTCTCTGATCTCTTTGGATTTATTTTAATAATTAATATTAGCATTTATAAGGCCTCCTTGGGTTCATGACATCTGTTTCTGTTTACTGCATTGCTCGATTACCAAAGATGTGAAATTTATAGGATTCGTCTATCAATGACGTCAGAATTCCGGAGGGGAGGTTCGAACTTGTGCGAAATATGAGGCGACTGTGAGATTTCATAAATTGTGACATGTTTTTTGCTATCGTGTTAGAAATTAAATTCAAGCCGTTGCTCTATTTTGTAAATTTCAGTAAACAGTTAAACAGTCGAGGCCTACTTTACGTTGACCGCGCTCAAAAAATATTTTAGAAAAACTTGCAGCTTTTTAAAAAAAAGAATAGTTTTGAAACGGGTGACGATGTGTGGCATGCGGTGAGGAGGGGGGGGGGGCTAGTAAACATTGTTGAAAATCAAGACTTGCTTACCATGCGGATTTCGTCTTAATTTTACATGTTTAAAATGTGAGCACTTTTATACTGGATTCAACATGGTCGGATGTTAAAGCATATAAATGATAACCTGAAAGTCTGAGGTAAGGGAAAGTAAAGGCGGATGGGAGTAGTGCTGACCGCACTGTCCCTGTATATGCCGAGGTCTTACAAACAGATAAACTCTACTTCACCTACCCAATCAGAGTTTCTTCCAGGCATCTTTTCGGGGGTGGGGGAGGGGCTCTGCCCCCCGGGAGGAAAGTCTCCGTCTCCCCCCCCCCCTACCCGAACGAAATGGAATTTATATAGAAAACATATACTTTTCCAGTGTCCGCCCCCCCCCCCCGGAGAAAAAAGTCTGGAAGAAACACTGATTACTATAGACCACGGGTTCCCAACCTGGGGGTCGCGACCCCCCTGGGGGTCGCGAAGGTCTTTCTGGGGGGTCGCCAAATGGTATACTAAACCTTAGTAATTTGAAACAAAACATAAATATTTAGAAGAATTTTTGAAATTCGGCTTCATTAACATCACTGGAAATGTAATAGAGAAGAAACAAAGCGCACTGTACAAAGCTGTTCTCAGTCACGAATCTATGAAATCTTCAAAACTAAAACGTCATTTGAGATAAGTCATTCGGAACACACCAAAAAATATATGGAGTTCTTTCGTCGGTAAGAAGCTAGTTGCAAACGCCAGAGACTTGATCGAACAGGAAGTTTTCACCAGCATTAGTGCAAGCATCAAATGAAGTCGCGATAGAAGACGCCAAGCAAAAAAAAAAAAAAACAATAGAAGAAAATCTCATCAAACGCTGCATGTACGTAAATGTTAAATAACACATTTTTATTGAAATTAAGCTTTCACCATTGTTTGCTTTTCAAGTTGATAAATCAACTGACGTGAGTTCGTGTTCGCAGTTGCTGGTCTGTGTCTATATTCATGCGGATGATAGCAAAGAAGAGTTGCTCTTTTATGAAGATAGCATGGAGAAAATAAACACCTTTTTGAAACTGAATGATTAAAATGGGTTAGAACGGCTGTGTGGGTTTGTACGGATGGTGCGCCATCTATGTTTAGCTCAAAATCGGGCTTTCAGAAAACAGAAAAGATTTAGCTCCCTAACCATTGCCCTCACCAATCGCCAACAAGACTCCATTGCTGGTATAAGTGGTGAATTATATAAAATCTGGAGCCTTCAAAGCACTGAGCAAAAACATTAATATAGATCACGAGGTTCTGCTCTTCTACACTACAGTACGCTGGCTGTCAAACGAAGTGTTGTAAATTATGTTTTTGAATTGAAATCTGAAATCAAATTGTTCTTGGAAGTGCAAAGGAAACAATACTTTTTGGTATACTTAAAACGACATAGAGTGGTTGGAGAGAGTATCATACCTAGCAGATGTGTTCGAACATCAAGATAAGCGTAACCTGAAGCTTCAGGGAAAATGAGCAAATATTATAACTTTCCATGATAATCTCGGGGCATTTTTATCAAAGCTGCAAAATCGGTAAAGAAGATAAATCTAGGAAATATTGTAAATTTGAGAAACTCTGCCGTGTGGTAGATGAATCTGATTATGAGATGATTGAAATTTTGAAAGAAGCGATTTCTGGGCATCATGAATCTCTTGAAAACGAACTGCATCCCTATTTCTCTGAGCTGAAAAAAGAAGAATCTGCATTTACGCATTACCCATTCTCTTCTTCCCTTGATATTGCCAGCATTCCCGATGAATTACAAAATGAATTCTTTGATTTGCAGAATGATTCCGAGTAAGATAAAAAACTGCAGACACAATTTTGGTGTAGTATTCACCATTCATACCCAAACGTAAAATTGATGGACTTTTTGAGAATATATTTTCAACACTATTTTTCGATTAAAAACAAAATTAAGATAATTATAATGACATAGGTTGGCGTTAACAAAAATTTGTTTTAATTAAAAACTTAACCACGAAGGTTTAGTGAATAGTATGCAATTTTACTCATGCTATTAAAACAGTTATCAAGAGTAGTTCATATTGAAAGTCTACTAGAAAATCTTATTTTAGTGCTTATTAATTTCCATACTAATTTCGGCTTTTTTATTCTATGGGGGTCGCGGGTCACTTACTTTTTATAAAAGGGGGTCGCCACTCGAAAAAGGTTGGGAACCACTGCTATAGACTATTATCAGTCAGATTTAGGCCATCGCCACAGCGATAGCGACTTTCCCGCGTACCTGGATAAAATGCCATTCTGTTAAATGGCAGTTGCAATCTGTCAGCACGAACCGTTGCAAGGTATAGAGCGACGTAACACGCAACCACCCGCCTGGAGCAAGCGACGTGACAGGGCGGATAATTTAAAATGGTTACAGAACCCGACAACACCGCCCAGCAAGCCCGCGCATTCAAGTCAGGCCGTTGTCTAGCAACGTGCGGGCCTGGGTTGCAAGGCTAAACCAGTATTCACGCGAGTTGCACGCTGACACGGCCGTCTCTTGCCTAACCACGTCGCGATTGGCTATGCGGAGCACGCGGGGTTAGCCTAAGTTTCTCCAATAGGTCTTCCAAAAATAGACGAGCTCTTTGTGTGTTGTGATCTCACGTGATCAGCTGCTACGCGCTGCCCGTCCATTCGCGATGACTTAGCCTAGGTTAAGCAGACGATCTTTTTGCAAGTAAGTAGGTCAAAGACGCCATTCTTTTTTTTTCCTTTGCCCTATGAAAAACTTCGGATACCTTTTTGAACAAACTCCGCTTGAGGCAACTTTGAAACAAGCTGAAGTCATATTGCTGACAGCAAGTAGAATCTGTCTACTGAGACAATTGTTCTGGTGAAGTACTGCTCCAAGAGGTTGGTTACGCGCTGAACATCGAATAGGTCCTTGCCTCTATCTGTTCTTTGATATCATGTTAGTCAGTAAAGCCACATGATCCTTTACCTTACGCAGCTGTTCCCCTCTCCCCATTTCTTGGTTTGCTGTTGTTTGTCCGTTGCCAGATGTGTATTTCTTTATTTGTGCTGTTCTCGGCAGTGCATAAAATGAATTGTAGAAGTGAAATTACCCGTAAATTTAGGAAATGGGTCTAAACTACAGAGTCTGTTGTGCTCGTTAACTGATGTAATGAATGGTGGTGCTTAGCTATTGAACGGGCTTGTACTTTTGTTCCCAAATATCTGCTGCTTGATTGCGAATTTAATGGCCTTCTGGTATCACTAAGGGAACAAAAACCTACTGTTATTAATGTGTTGAGTCGTGCGACGTCAAAACAACCACGACAAAACGACCCCATTTAAAGGGCCAGCGACAAATCGACCCCCGGAACCAGTCTGGAGCCAATATGTCATAAGCCTATTTGTTAGGAGCCAATATTTCGGGGCCCTTTTGTCGGGGCTATTTAACTGTGTCGTTTTGTCGAGGGCCGCTTTGACGGTGCACCGTGTTAAGTTTCAATAAAAAATAAAATGTGTTTTTGACATGAGTAAAATTATTTTTAAGCCAATGATGGTATTTCTCATAATGTATAGCTGGTAGTGATTTAGTCGTGTATATGGATAAAACCTCTCTTGTTGCAGCAGTAAGCTAAACCGTCAGCTCGCCCTAACAATGTTTAATAAATATTTTCTTTTTTTTTTTTAATCACACCTGTTTATGTCTCGAACACACACTTACCCATATACACACATATACACACACAATCCTGGAGTTTAAAAGGTTATATGATAGAAAAAAGATGTTGTTTTACAGTTTAGTCAACATTTTACTTCTAAAAGAGTAGGCCTAACGATTTATTTGAAATATTCATTTGATTAAAGTGGCAATTTAAAAAAAAAAGCTTTTAAGAGAATAAAGTTAAAAACATCATGAAGTTTCATGTCTAGTGTTCATTTCGCCCGTCCCCAAAGAGATGCCTGAAAAAAAACCCACTATTCGTGCCCGACCCTGAAGCCTACAAGGTTTCCTAGGGACGGGACATGGATGGTGCGTTAGAGCAGGCTAGAAGTAACTAGTGACAACTCGGCGATTGTCAAGTGGCCCAAGGTTTCATGGTAAACTCGGCGATTGTCAAGTGCCCAAGGTTTCATGGTAAACTTTGCGATTGTCAAGTAGCCCAAGGTTTCATGGTAAACTTTGCGATTGTCAAGTGGCCCAAGGTTTCATGGTAAACTCGGCAATTGTCAAATGGGGGTCATGGAGTGTTCTAAATGGCAACATTGCACATTTCCAACCCGTCAGCGCACTAATTCATCTACTTACCTAACTGTACAACTAAAATAATTGCTAAAAAATTTAAAAAAAAAAAATATATAAAAAACCCAGCGAAATTGTATAGGGCCAGGCAAAATCTGTGACTCCATATTCGAGCTTAGGATTTTCAATTCAAGTTTGTTGGAAGATCCTCACATCTTCGATACGTGAAAGTTTGAAAGTATGTTCGCTGGTGTCACTTCATGACTTCATGAGACTTGCAGTGTTTTCTAAATAAGATTCTGGTCCAGAGATTGTGTTCACGTGTGGCCTAATGTAGATAAAGCTGTAGTAAAAACAAAACGCTAACCAGTGTTTCTTTCAGACTTTTTTTCTCCGGGGGGGGGGGGGGAGAGGGACGGGACACTGGTAAAAGTATGTTTTCTATATCAATTCCATTTTGTTCAGGGGGGGTGGGTGGGGCTCTGCTCACCCGAAGAGGTGCCTGGAACAAACTCTGACGCTAACGATCAGTTTATCGTTGGATCGTGTTTACTAAGATTTAGAACTCAGAAAAGAGCGAATTTGACGTTTTAACATTATCTTTGAAAGATTGCGATATTATATATTCTTCATGTTTATTAATTTTCATACAAATTCAAAAGACGCAATGAGGTTACAGAAATGTGTTTGAAATAATTCAACACTAAAGAATAAAGATTGCAGATGTCACGATTTCAGAATAATTTTATCTGGGTAATTTGTTGATTTAGATTTCTATCACTAGATTCTAGATCTACACTATCTAGACCTAGATCTAGATCTAGTAGTAAATTTACTTTCTCACGGTTCGATTTCAGTGTTCAGTCGTAGAAATAGATCTAGAGATCTAGATCTATGTCAAGTAACATTTTTATAACACATGAATAGATCTAGATCTAATATTTAAGAAGAGACTGCATTAATTTTTAAAATAACTTGTGATATTTGCAAGCAATTTTTGTGGAGATTTCTCAATGTCCCGTGGAACTAGTCTAAGGGCCTATGCCTAACATAGCCTAAAGATTTTGGGTGAGGATTGGGATATCTTAAAAAGATATGGAAACCCGGATGTGGTCTCGTCGACGGCGCAATTTTCCGCCATCACGGAACTCCAAAAGCAGACAGATTTGCGAGAGCGTAGCAGGACGAAATCAATGGTTAAAAAGATTTCGGTGTTTTAATTATCCGATTCCCGTATCTTAGTTATTACGGCAGTTTGTGAGTATCTCAAATACTAATTGATCTAGATTATTCTAGATTTAGGCCCATTTACAAAAATGTAAACCAGATTTTTAGATCTGTAGTGTATGGGTGTCTTTAACAACTTCCAGTTGATAAAAATATTCAATATTCATTATTTCTCTGTAGGCCAAAATATTAATAATAAGGATATAAGATTTTTCTAGATTTCTAGGCCTAATAAATTAATGAATAATTTATTATTTTATTTGTTTGTGATTGTTTTCATAAGTTTTCTAGATTCAAATATCTATTACACTCAGTAATTACCTAGAAATCTAGATCTAGATCTAGATATTTTTAATAATATTATAATATTTATTATTACACAATATTACTGTACTGTATTACATCATTAAGTTTTAACTTAATAATATTATAATTCATACACTATTACATCACTAATCTTGATCTTCAAACAATTGATTAAATAACATTAATATTCTAAAATAACAAACTAGATCTGGATCTAGATCTAGAATAATCTACATTCAAAATAAAATTGTTTTGCAAATTTCCCAAATAAAATAGTTACTAGATCTAGATCTAGTAAGTTATGACTAAAGTAAATTGATTAATCAATAAGTGTAACAATACTAGCTATTACTAGGTAAGCAAAGGTCTCATTGGAGTTGAATCTCAACACAAAACATGAGTAATCCAAAAAAATTACTACTGTAATTACAAAAAAATTGTGAAAATTTCAAATAAATTTGATTTCAATAGGCCTTATAATATAATAATGTTTTCTAATTAGGCTTATAGGCCTACTCTACTAATTTGGCTGATATTTGACAATGGATACAAATCTTTGCATTATTTATGAAATCACTTATAAGGCTAAGGTTCTATTTAGACAAGTTACTTTAAAAACTCATTTTGAGCTTGTTGTAGTAGATCTTTTGCCTAGTCAAAAAGCCCAATGCTGAAACAAATTAAATGATAAGGATTTGATGTTTTTATGGATCTGAATTGTAATTGTTGGGGTGAGAGTCACATGAGTATCTTCTCACTCAATTGTAAAATGTTGTACAAATAAACAGTGGTATTCCTAAATGGGTACTAGATTAAAAAGTCTTTGAAAATACTCCAAATTGCCCATCTGACCAGCCAGACATTTTATTGTTTGTTGAAAATTATAAATGGTCTGCTATGCCATCCATGCATACATCTATTGCCTTTGGCAGATGAGGTAGAGTTCATGTTTTTTTTACCTTGGCAGCACTATGCCCAGCCCCCTTTTCTTTCCCCAAAGTAAGTCAGGTACCCATCAGAGCTGGGTGGACTCAGATGTTTTACAGTAGTGAGACCAAACTGAGATCCAAACCTTTGGGGTTATTCTATAACATTTTTCTTGTTCATGCTTCTTCTTAATTGTCAGAGGATTTTCCTCAAACACCATTGCGCAATACATGCCAACATATTCTGAGTCATACAGACTTTTGACTTCAACTTAACTTGTCTTTCTGGATTTGCTTCCATAACATTAAGATTTGTCCACACAAGAACAATTTTGCTGTACCAGAATTGTAAAATGCCCTTTTTTTTATCCTGTGTTAAAGTTGTCATATTCACACGTCATTAAGGTGTTTATTGCTTTACAGAATGCCTCGTCCATTTAAAGCTTATTGGCTTGGTATTAAAGTAGCTGGAGAAACAATTCAGGAATGGTGTCAAAAAATTGAAACAGAGCATGTGTTTTGTAAGTACTGTAAGTTCAGTATCAAATTTAGCAGCAGTGGTCTCAAGGCATTAAAAAACCATGCAGTCGCAGAGAGGCACAGACAGAACAGGGCAGCTGAGCTGAGAAAATGCAAAACAGTTGCAAGTAAGTTTTTGGTGTTTAATATTGTTTATATCCACATCTTTCTAGGCTCTTGCCTGACGGATTAGGTTTACCAACTCCAAGTGAAATTCTTTGAAACTAGTTTTAAGGACATGTCTAGATTGTGTACTTCCTCCTAAGTAATATTTTGATTAAAAGTTTTTTAGTTTAATTTTTATGTGAATCTTGGACCTAACTAATTTTCTGGATGAAGCTGGCTGTTTACCAAATAAATATGGTAGAGTTCCCTTTTGAACCTGTAGGCCTACTTTTGACCTCAGCAAATGAAGGGATAGTGTGGTCAGCACTATGCCCAGCTGCCTTTACTTTCCCTAACGTTGCTGAGATACCCATCAGAGTTGGTGAACTCATGGATGTGCAAGGGACCAGAACTCAAAACTTTCTGGTTACCAATTGAATGTTCTACCATTCGACCATGCCGTTCCATATATAAATATGTAACTGACAATTTTGTATTTTATTTTAGATTTAAATTTGCCTTTTTGGTTTTATATTTTAGAGGTATTTACAAATGTGTTCAATAAGATTTTAAAACAGTTGCGAAACATCAACACATTATAATTTTATTGGTTGTGAGTAAACAATCTTTATAGAATCATTAAACCCTTGTTACCGGTATTCTTGAGTTAGAAAATGGGTTCAAGTCAGTAGAAGGTACCTGAGTCCACCCAGCTCTGATGGACACTTACTCACATTCGGGAAACATAGATGGCTGGGCATATTGCCGACCACATTATCCCCTTGTATGCTGAGGTCATTGTAACAGATGAGCTTTACTTCATCTGCCTCATGTGTCTTGGGCACCAACTGGAAAAGATGATGATTAGACACTTGTTTTCAATATTTACATTTAGTTAAGCAAAAAGCATCATTACTTTTTCTGGTTGGCCAATTAAAAAACAAATATCTGACAAGATTATTTTAATCTTTCTTATTAAAAAAACTTTAAATAGCTACAATTGTGTGGGAATTTCCAAAACTCCTCTGTGAACCAAATTAATGTACAAAAATAGAATGGTGTTTTCCTAGTATCATACTTTTAAAAAGCATGATAAAAAAAAGTTTTACAGTTGGTCTCTTCTAGGGCAAGACTTATTTCTTAGCAAAGCTATTGTTTCACGAAAACAATGAAAATGCTTATAATAAATATAGTCTTTTATGGTTAATATATAAATTAACTTAAAACATGTAATTATATTACATAATTCTTATAATATTCATACCGTACATGAATTAATTATGTTTGAAATGGCATTGAATTAAAATCATTTCACTACATTGTGTTGCAATGTTGAAAGTGAGTAGATCTAGGTGAATTGTTAACCTGGTGTCCCCTTGAAATTGTTTTGACACCCACATGTTGGAAATACAATTGTGCCTGAGGAGCAGGACAAATCCCCCTGTGCCTGAGGAGCAGGACAATTCCCCCTGTGCCTGAGGAGAATGACAATTCCCCGTCCGGACATTACCCCTGGAATAAATACCCCCTGTCAAATACCACCATCCCCCGCTTTCCCGCCTAGTTAAAAAGTTAGGGATAGGGTTAGATATAGATTTAGTTGAGTTTTTGTGGTTAGGGTGAAGGTTATTTGTAGGTTTGGGGTTAGGGTTCTTCATCATGGGTGGGGGAGGGGGTAATGTCCTAGACCCTAAGCCTTTATGGTAACGCCGCTTTTGCCTTCAGCAAAAATCAAAATAGTCCCCGGCTTAAATTAATGGTTTTTTTTTTCTTTTAACTTTCTGTTCATTGTCTCAGCTACCCGGCTAGTACAGAATTCAGCTTTTACAGCATCTTCTATAACCAATGTTGTGGCGGGTGGGAGTCGTTAGGTCTATGTCATGCATTGGTGCCATGGCCGGTGATGATACTACAGATCAGTTTTTGTGATACTATTACTATAACATTTGAATGTTTGTAGGCCTCAGAGCTTCTTCCAGAAATTTTATCTCCCCCTAAAATTCTTGTTTTGAGGTAGGCAGCCCACCCTCCATGTAATTGCTAGATCTAGTTTCTCCAACTGTCCCTCTGGTGACTTCTTTCTTAGGCTTAGAGGGGGTTTAGTTAACATGTCTCCACTGCCTTGGGTGAGGGGGTTTAGTTAACATGTCTCCACTGTCTTGGGTGAGGGGGTTTAGTTAACATGTCTCCACTGTCTTGGGTGAGGGGGTTTAGTTAACATGTCTCCACTGTCTTGGGTGAGGGGGTTTAGTTAACATGTCTCCACTGCCTTGGGTGAGGGGGTTTAGTTAACATGTCTCCACTGTCTTGGGTGAGGGGGTTTAGTTAACATGTCTCCACTGTCTTGGGTGAGGGGGTTTAGTTAACATGTCTCCACTGCCTTGGGTGAGGGGGTTTAGTTAACATGTCTCCACTGTCTTGGGTGAGGGGGTTTAGTTAACATGTCTCCACTGCCTTGGGTGAGGGGGTTTAGTTAACATGTCTCCACTGTCTTGGGTGAGGGGGTTTAGTTAACATGTCTCCACTGCCTTGGGTGAGGGGGTTTAGTTAACATGTCTCCACTGTCTTGGGTGAGGGGGTTTAGTTAACATGTCTCCACTGCCTTGGGTGAGGGGGTTTAGTTAACATGTCTCCACTGTCTTGGGTGAGGGGGTTTAGTTAACATGTCTCCACTGTCTTGGGTGAGGGGGTTTAGTTAACATGTCTCCACTGCCTTGGGTGAGGGGGTTTAGTTAACATGTCTCCACTGTCTTGGGTGAGGGGGTTTAGTTAACATGTCTCCACTGTCTTGGGTGAGGGGGTTTAGTTAACATGTCTCCACTGCCTTGGGTGAGGGGGTTTAGTTAACATGTCTCCACTGTCTTGGGTGAGGGGGTTTAGTTAACATGTCTCCACTGTCTTGGGTGAGGGGGTTTAGTTAACATGTCTCCACTGCCTTGGGTGAGGGGGTTTAGTTAACATGTCTCCACTGTCTTGGGTGAGGGGGTTTAGTTAACATGTCTCCACTGTCTTGGGTGAGGGGGTTTAGTTAACATGTCTCCACTGCCTTGGGTGAGGGGGTTTAGTTAACATGTCTCCACTGTCTAGGGTGAGGGGGTTTAGTTAACATGTCTCCACTGCCTTGGGTGACGGGGTTTAGTTAACATGTCTCCACTGTCTTGGGTGAGGGGGTTTAGTTAACATGCCTCCACTGTCTTGGGTGAGGGGGTTTAGTTAACATGTCTCCACTGTCTTGGGTGAGGGGGTTTAGTTAACACACCTTCACTGCCTTGGGTGAGGGGGTTTAGTTAACATGTCTCCACTGTCTTGGGTGAGGGGGTTTAGTTAACATGTCTCCACTGTCTTGGGTGAGGGGGTTTAGTTAACATGTCTCCACTGCCTTGGGTGAGGGGGTTTAGTTAACATGTCTCCACTGTCTTGGGTGAGGGGGTTTAGTTAACATGTCTCCACTGCCTTGGGTGAGGGGGTTTAGTTAACATGTCTCCACTGTCTAGGGTGAGGGGGTTTAGTTAACATGTCTCCACTGCCTTGGGTGACGGGGTTTAGTTAACATGTCTCCACTGTCTAGGGTGAGGGGGTTTAGTTAACATGTCTCCACTGTCTTGGGTGAGGGGGTTTAGTTAACGTCTCCACTGTCTTGGGTGAGGGGGTTTAGTAAACACACCTCCACTGCCTTGGGTGAGGGGGTTTAGTAAACATGTCTCCACTGTCTAGGGTGAGGGGGTTTAGTTAACATGCCTCCACTGTCTTGGGTGAGGGGGTTTAGTTAACATGCCTCCACTGTCTTGGGTGAGGGGGTTTAGTTAACATGTCTCCACTGTCTTGGGTGAGGGGGTTTAGTTAACACACCTTCACTGCCTTGGGTGAGGGGGTTTAGTTAACATGTCTCCACTGTCTTGGGTGAGGGAGTTTAGTTAACATGTCTCCACTGTCTTGGGGAGTGGGTTTTGGTAACTCTACTGAGCTTTAGATTTTGGGTTAGTTGTAGTGTTGTCTACCACTAGGCCACACTGTTCCTTACATTGAAGCTAATTCCTTGGTCAGTGAACCAATAACCTACTTGGAAAGACATCTTGTATATGACAAAAAAATAGGAGATGATGCAATAATTATATATATTACATGTATCGTTTGAATAGAATGAACACTAAATTAGAAAACAATGTTTAAATTAAACTGTTTTCCCTCATTTATTTCAAAGACATTAAATATCAATAAATGAATAAAATCATTGCTATAAAAATCACTTTAAAATCTTATTGAAGGCTGATTTTGTCGTACTTTGATATAATACTTGATTCAATAAAAGATAAACTGTCCACTTGGGCGATGTAGATCTAATATTTAAATGTTACTAGCCTTACTGATGGTAATATTGCTAACTAACCAATCATTTCTATTCCTAGAAGACAAGGATCACCAACTAAAATTGTCAAGCCACCCTCTTGGCCTGTATGATCAATCATTGGTAAAATCTTTTATACTGACCTTATTTAGGCCTATTCATGAACTCTTGACTTGTGTTAGATTAAATTCAGTTACCAGAAATTTTAAAAAGAATGCCTTAGCGTAATGTTTTTGTTAAAATCTTGAAAACAAAATGCAAGTGACAATACAATAGTATATGTCTACCCTCACATTTTATTATTTACACATAAATGTGCATCTTTACGAGACTAATAAAATGTTTTTTTTTTCCTCCAAAGAGTGAACAAGCACAAAATGTTGTGTTTTCTTCTTGGAGTGGACTAGGTATGATTTTATTTTAGTACATAGTAACTTTATAATAACTTAACAACTTTGATTTACGTATCTTCAATTATGTTACTGCTGTTTCACTCTCAGTAGTTTTTGTTTTTGCTCAAGTCATAGAACTGTTTAAAATTATTTTTTTCCATCAGTATCTCTCCCTTTATAATTAATATATCTACAGAGATTTATTTGTTTTCCTTGATTTAAAAAAAATAAAAATAAATCCTATATTTTCACTTTGAGGAAAATTTGCTATAAGAAAATACCTTTTGGTTTGTTCTTAAAATGCTTGTCTCCAATTTAGAAAAATTTACCCATTTTCAGGTGGTTAGAAAATCTAGATTTTCACAAATCTCGATGTTTTAAACCTCCCTGAGTTGGAACAACAATGTGTGTGTGTATGTATGTGTCTGTGTGTCTGTCAGCACAATAACTTGAGTATCGTTACAGCTAGGCTGATGAAATTTCATATATCAGTATTATATCAAATGTGTATTTTTTTATCCACTTTTCATCAATTTCCATTATTGGAAGTGGAACTTATTCTTTTAGTTTTTCAAAAGCCTATAACTTGAGTACTGTTTCATATAGATAAACAAAATTTCAAATAAGTAAAAGATTTAACTTTCTGCCTTCTATCAAATTTTGAGTAATTTCCATTGACCTGAAGTAGTAATATACAATTAATGACTTGAATGCTATAGATATTTATTACGGCTACTAAAATATCATCTAAAGTGGTTATCTCTTTTTACCTTTAAATTAAAATAGCCTACTGCAGCATTACACTTGAAACTTATAAGAATCTAGAACAAAATAACAAGGGCTTCTATCTATAAACTTATACAAATTATGCTTGTTTACAAATGCAACATTTAATAAAACTAAAAGTTTGCCCTTGGCATTGGAATGTGTCATAATGTCTCATTCTTTACCCCTTAAATCTTAGCTATTTTTGGTTGAAATTTTTATTTTAAAGTACTTTCTTATAATTGTTCCTTGATCTCTCCAAAGTTAATCTTATGACCAACTTTTGCATTAGATTGATAAGAAACATTGTTTATTTATCAGGGCTCAGCAGGTGCTACATTAATGTGTACATCTGCTACTACTGCGGGGAAGAGTTTCCATCCAGATGTGTACTACAGACACATCAATTAGCCTGCAATATGAAGACACCATTAGACTCCAAGCCACCAAGTCTACAAACTGCTAAACTTCCATTGTTGGATGAAACACTAGTGACCAACTTCACTAAAATACACCAGCCCTCAGCTGTATTTTATGACCTAGCTCCCTCTAAAGAGGAGTATATATCAGCCCTAGAGCTGATCCCTAAAAGTAAAACAGAAGTGATAGCTCGGCGTAGAAGAAACACAGAATGTGAGACTATAGATCTAGAAGATTTGCCAGTCTCACCAACTGTGCCCAGAACACCCAAACGGTTACTCTCACATCTCAGTAGGGATGAGAGCAGCTCTTCATGCACCTACCGTAGAAGACTTTCTCTTTCATTTCAGACAAAAAATGAAAAAGAGAATGTGGATGCTAAAAAGGATTTGACTAATCCAGAGGAGAAAAGAGATGAGAAACCCAAACTAGCGTCAGTTAAATCTCTGTACAACCTTGACCTGACATCACCTCTTGGACAGTGTGTCAGCAGGCACATTAAAGGGGACCCTAACTTACATGTCTTGTCAGATGTAGAGAGCCATTGTTTGACCTCCACTCCAAAGAAAAGTTTAGTTGATCTGAAGCTTCGAGAGAGGCCTGTCAACTATTTAGTAACATTTAAAGGCTATCCCAGCAAGCTTCCGTACATACATCAGTACAAATTTAATCAACTGGAAAAGAAAGAATTCTTGCGCCGAGTTAACACTGGGCTTGATAAAAAGAGTCGCCGTTTGGCCAGGAAAATGAAACCATGCAGAGTTTTGCTCAGGCCTGTCACAAAAGCAGATTTAAAACAATGGATTCCCTCACAGAATGAAATTACAGTGGACCTAAAGCCTTTAACTGCAGATGAAATTTCTTTCTGGACTAAACCAAAGACCCCAATCAGTGTGTTGGCTGAGTTCCCTAGTGGCCTGACCTTCTCATCCCCTAATGTAAGTAATGTGCTAGGGCTGAGAACCAGGCAAGATGTATCTTTGTTAAAGTCACCTGGCTTGTCTGTATCAAACTACGTGTCAGAAGAAACTCTGGCTGAAGTAACAGCCAACAGAGTGGCTGTCTACAAGAGTCTGTTGGCAGATACCAGCTGTGGTGAGATAGAGAATCTGCCAACTCCCAGAGTGTCTGTTAGAAGGGTTTTCATTCCATTTGGTGACGCACACAAAACCTGTTTTCTGCCAGATATCACCAACCTAAAGGTGAAAGAGGGCACAGAATCCAATACTAGAGAAAATGGACTGGTGCAAATCCGCTGTGCTAAAGAAGGGGAGAAAATTGCTATTCTTAAAAGAAGGGAGATAAATAATGCAAATGTTTTGAGAGAAATTCCTGGTCAACCAAAACCACAAGGGCAACATGTTTTCAAAAGAGAAAGACATTCAAAACGAAACCTTTTGCACACTGTGCATTCTGGGAAGAGAGAGAAACCCCATGATAACTTGGTTGCTGGTCAGCAGAAGTTGCCTGAATGTCATACACAGAATTCTAATACATTGGAACCTCTTTCAGTCAACAAAGTATCATCTAAAGTATTAGCACCTTGGTCAGCAAATGCTGTCAAATTGTCACCACCAAGAGGTAAATTATTGGGGCAGTCCCCATTCTCTTATGTCAATACTAAACCTTCTACCATGGCAAGCAGCAAGAATGCTAAACTCAGTTCCTTTAAAGATAACTCTTGTAAGACACTAAGCAAATATAAGAGTTGTCCATCGTTGAGAAGTAATAAACAATTGACTAATGTCAGAGCACCTGTGATAGTGAAAAAAAGCTCAGAAAAAAAACTCCACAATATTTTGTTGCGATCTAGCAAAAAAAGTGCCTCAGCTAATGCGGACATGAACATGCCTTCTAAAGAAATGATGCAGGTCAGAAAGTTTTCATTGAGGCCTGAACTACGCAAATCTTCAATGAGAAAACGTATTTCTATTCTCCAGAGAGCTGAGGAAAGGAAAAGAATTCTCAGCTCATTTTTGCTTTATTCAAGCAAAATAAAGTCACGTAACTAACTTCTGGTTTGAACCACAGACTGCACCAGATTCAACCTAAAAGGAAACCTGTAAAGTTTAAGAAATGATGTTGTACATACACTGAGAATTTGTTTTTGTTAGCAAAACTATTTATGTTCATGTTAAATTTTGAAATGTATCTGAAATTGTTTCTACATCTTTTATTGTTAGAATTTGGAATCATGACATTGTCTTATTGTTTAAAAAAAACTTTTTAAAATAGATTTTACTAATACAACTACTCAATGAAAGTTTGAGCATGTCTTTCTAATAATTAATTTGATTTTAGCTTTAAGTACAACAGATTTTCTTGTGTATTTTAGATGATTTTTATTTTGATGCTGTATAATTTCATTAAATTTATAATCTGTTACTGTTTAAAATTTTTAATAATTGTTAAAAGCACTAACAAAAGTTAGAATTTATTTTAAATCGATATTAAAATAATAGGGAAAAAAATGTGGATTATATAATCAGTCCAATGTAACTAAAGCTTTCTCGTTTATTAATTGCACTTTTATCACTTACATGAATTTTTGTGAAAGAATTCATATTATATTCTTTGCTCAAAACTGATTTTCTTATACACATTGAAAGGTAACCACATTTATAGTTAATAAAAAGAAGGGAAGAATTTGTAGTCTGTATTCATACCGGCATTCTTTTTTTTTTTTTTGGGGGGATGAGAAATCCTTTTGCTTGAGGTAATGTGGTGAGATGAAACAGAGGTGCATCTACCAGGGTGTCAATTTTATCCTTATAAATTTACTCAAGCTGTGCCATGCATATTTAGTTTTCATAGATTTTTTCCCCCCTTCCTAGCAGAAAAGGAAAATCTAATTACTATGCATTTACTTGTTGCCATAATTTTTTTGTGATACTTTTAAACAAATGACAAGTTGTGATATTTTTGTCTAAAAACCAAAGTAAAGTATTTGTTTTTCACTTAAAAAATAGACAATTGTCACAATCGAAAACTAGGAAGGATGAAAAAATAAAGTACTCTTGACAGAAGAGTGCCATTGATTTGCTAGAATTGAGAACAGTAGGCACTTCACTTTTTCTGTTGGTTTGTTTGCTCTGATATACACCGTCTTTCTTTGTAAAAATGTCATTAAATAAACATGTCAACCACCATGTACATATGACAGTTGAAAAATACACTGAATAAAATTGTATGAAACTTATGGTTTGAATTTTATAAATTGAATGCAACAATGAATGTGTTAGAAGCAAAAATAATTTTAATGATAAATTGTTTATACCTTAGTATTTGGATTTACAAGACAGTAATGGACATTATTTATAATATCTAACCAACAAACCTTTAACACTGAATGAATTATGGTCAACATTTGTTGCAAACTAATTAAAACATGTACTGAAGCTAGAATTTTTTCATGTGGAACATACATTCATGACAAACTTTAAATAAACAAAAAAAGTTAGTAATATTAGTATTCCAAGTCACACTGGATTTTTTGGTTCTATGCTCCAAATTTATTTTATTTAAGGTCACATGAGCTTGTTAGAAATGTGTAAACAAACTTAGTCATGGGTTCAAAGGTGACATTCATCAGCAACAAGCTTCAGAAATCAAAGGTCATGTTTTAATTTTCCATTTCTAAATACAAAAATATCAAAAGTTACATAGACATGAATCAAAAGAAAATAATTAGTCGCCTTCATTGCACATGAAAAAAAAAAAAAATGTTCTTCCACTAAATTAAAATGACATGCATGCCTATCCTGAAACTGATAAGGTTTTCAACAAACTCCAGTGCTGAAACCACAGGTGCGATCTACCTGCTTGACCTACAGAACAAGTTGGTGAGCTCTAAAGTTACATGAGTTGATCACATCATTTGTTTGAATAAGAAAGAACATGGAAGAAATGCTGAGACAGCACAAGAAGGAGTAACAATGTAACCAAGTTTTGGAAGCATTTCCCACTGGGGGAGAGGTTGAGTATATTTGGCATAAAATGGTGGTGGTGTGTGAACACTGCTCAAGGGGGTGGTTGTACAGGGGGGGAGAGGTCCGGCCGGGAGGCTGGTTTTTTCATGACTGGTGGCTTCACTTTCATGGGGGGCTTTGGTTTTTGAGCAACAGGTGGAGGCAAGGTGTTGGCTGGGGGGTTACCTGGACTGTAGTTTTGTGCAGGGGAGAAGATAGGTGGAGAGGGGCATGAGTTGGATGTAGAGGTTGAGATCAGAGAAGAAGAAAGATCAGTTCGGCGGGTTCCTTCGTTGGACTGGCTTCGAGCTGGGGATGACTTGTTGAGTGAAGATATAGAAAAAGTGGTCAGACCCTCCCGGTCACGTGACCTGGCTAAGTCACCAGGCTCTGAAGAGATGCTCAGCCTGCTGCTGTGGTCCTGGCGGCCAACTTGAGGGTTGCTGGCTTTCTTCAGGGTGCCTTGGTTGGACTGAGCAAAAGTTTCTGCAGCGCTAATGGTGGGGCTGTCAGGCTGGGAGGGGTCAGTAGAGGAGCCTGACGTGTCCCCGTCAGGGAGGTCAATCACCAAGTCAGGGGTGTGTTTTGGTGTCTGTTTGACCTTGACCGCTGGGAGGGACATCCTTTTGTCCTGTTTTTGCTGCATCTCTAAAGATTTGAGTCCAGCCATGACCTCCTCCAGGGCCGAGTCAATGTCCACACTAAAATCTTCAGATGATGTGTCAGACATTGTGCTCAGACTGTCATTCACCAAGATCTCGTTCTTGCTGGAAATTTCTTTCTCTCTCTCAGCAGTTTTAGACCCAATGCCAATCAGTGAAGTGGACATGAGTGAAGTAGATAAAATGGCCGACTTCATCATTGCTGTTGTAGGTGAAGCACTGGGAGAGGGCCTCAACTTCTCCGTCTCTCCCGTCTTCTCTGGGATTGTGCTGATGCTGTCTTTGAGCAACTCTTTCTTCAGCGGTGTGGTCTCCAAGCTTTTGACACCACCCACATTACTCTCCCTTGGTATAGGAGGGGGAGACAGCTCAGGGTCCACATTAAGGATATCAGTTTCTCTTATGATAGCCACATTGGGTTGTGACAGGGACTTGTCTGACGCCTCAAGGCCAGAGTCATGGCTGGTAGGTCTGGATGGGTGGGATGGTAGAGTCAGGCTAGAGCTCATCAAATTCCTCTCCTCTTCGTGGCTGTGTTGGCTCTTGTTGTCCTCCCTGAAAGACAACATACACTTATATCACTAGGTAACCAGGGGAGATAACAGTGCTCTGAAAATTTATATCACTAGGTAACCAGGGGAGGTAACAGTGCTCTGAAAATTTATATCACTAGGTAACCAGGGGGAGGTAACAGTGCTCTGAAAATATATATCACTAGGTAACCAGGGGAGGTAACAATGCTCTGAAAATTTATATCACTAGGTAACCAGGGGAGGTAACAGTGCTCTGAAAATCAAATGAATCTAAAACGTACACATGTTTGAGAAGAATGTATTTGTCTGGGATGAGACCCTCCTTGCCGTGGAAACATCCTTCCCACCAATCACTGGACACACGACTGTACAGCACCAAAGTGTCACCTTTCTTGAAGGAGAGTTCACGGGCTGATCTGGCTTCAAAATCAAAGACAGCTGTGGCCTCAACAACATCAGGTTCTGTTGATTCACCAGTAAGTATTAGTTAGGTCAGTGGAGTGTCTGTTGTGTTGGCAATAGAATCATTTTCATACTTTGAAACTCAAGTAACAATTATATTTATCATTATAACTTATGTGTATTAACCTAAATGTAATGCCTTATGTTTGATACCAGAAAAAAAAAATTAAAGAAAAAAAAAACAGTTAAAATGTGTACATGCTGTTACTGAATTTAAAAAAATATTGACATGAGGTACAGCTGTAGGACATGAGGTACAGCTGTAGGTCATGAGGTACAGCTGTAGGTCATGAGGTACAGCTGTAGGACATGAGGTACAGCTGTAGGACATGAGGTACAGCTGTAGGACATGAGGTACAGCTGTAGGACATGAGGTACAGCTGTAGGACATGAGGTACAGCTGTAGGACATGAGCTACAGCTGTAACACATGAGGTACAGCTGTAGGACATGAGGTACAGCTGTAGGTCATGAGGTACAGCTGTAGGTCATGAGGTACAGCTGTAGGTCATGAGGTACTAAAAAAGTTAACACCAAACTGCCTTCAGTAGAAAAGTATGGTCTTTAACTTTAAATGAGGTGTGATGTTAGTAAGTCTGATTTGTAATCCTTTGTTAAACATACAAGTGACTTGAGGGAAAAAACTTATAGACTCATTTTTTCCAGGAAACTTAAGAACATGTAGTCATCCAATGTCCCTTGTGTAATTGAAATTAATTACTTGCTACATTTAGCTCTTCATACAACTGATGTTATTCATACAAGCAAAACTTGAAAACATTTCTTGCATGTTCTTACAACAACGATGCAGGACAAAAATCTCAGCATGCTAAAGCAACACATCCAGAATAAAGCAATGCACAAAAAAAAAAATCACAGCTAGTTCACATCAGTTTGTTCTACTGGGTTTATGGCAATGGCTTTAACAAGTTAGATGGGATTTGGTCATGTGACTGTCTGTACAAGATTTGGTCATGTGACTGTCAGTACAAAGATTTGGTCATGTGACTGTCAGTACAAAGATTTGGTCATGTGACTGTCAGTATAAGATTTGGTCATGTGACTGTCAGTACAAAGATTTGGTCATGTGACTGTCAGTACAAAGATTTGGTCATGTGACTGTCAGTACAAAGATTTGGTCATGTGACTGTCAGTACAAAGATTTGGTCATGTGACTGTCAGTACAAAGATTTGGTCATGTGACTGTCAGTACAAGATTTGGTCATGTGACTGTAAGTACAAAGATTGGTCATGTGACTGTCAGAGCAAAGATTTGGTCATGTGACTGTCAGAACAAGATTTGGTCATGTGACTGTCAGTACAAAGATTTGGTCATGTGACTGTCAGAGCAAAGATTTGGTCATGTGACTGTCAGTACAAAGATTTGGTCATGTGACTGTCAGAACAAAGATTTGGTCATGTGACTGTCAGAACAAGATTTGGTCATGTGACTGTAAGTACAAAGATTGGTCATGTGACTGTCAGAGCAAAGATTTGGTCATGTGACTGTCAGAACAAGATTTGGTCATGTGACTGTAAGTACAAAGATTGGTCATGTGACTGTCAGAGCAAAGATTTGGTCATGTGACTGTAAGTACAAAGATTGGTCATGTGACTGTCAGAGCAAAGATTTGGTCATGTGACTGTCAGAACAAGATTTGGCCATGTGACTGTCAGTATAAGATTTGGTCATGTGACTAACTATAGATACTTGGTCATATCACTATCAGCACAAAGTGTGGTCATGTATATTGTCAGTATGCTGACCAGAAAGATGTGCAACAGAAAAATGGAAAACTGCGCATAAAAAGTGCACAAGGTCATTTTTTTTGTTTTCTTATATTGAGCATTTATAGACATACAAAGGGTGACTACATGTAGATTGTAGCATAGTATAAACATATTTCCACAAATTATGACAAAATTAAATTGTATACATAAAATTTGAATTTGCACATTTTTCTGTTGGCAGTTTTCCAGATAGCGCATTTTTCTGGGAACTTGTCAGTACAAAGTTATAAGGTTATGTGACTGTCAGTGCTAAGGCAATCTTTCTTCATGCAGAGCAGGCCAATATTTCCTTGTGTGCAGTTTATAAAGAATTTTTTTTTTTAAAAGTACAAGATTTAAAACATGAAAATAACTGAATTTCAGGATGTTGAAGTATTTAAAAGTTGCAGGGACTGGTTTCTAAATGAATGTGTTAATATTTGTGCCTGAATGTTAAACAAACAACAGTGTGCTCAGATACAGAAAATATGGAGGCTTACCATACACAGACTCTGTGAAGAGGTTAAAGGTTAATGTCAATAGTCTGCCATAACTGGTCTTTTTTAAGTTTAAAAAAATGTTTTTCACATATCTGATCAAATGTGTCTCTTTAAGCAAATCATTTATTAAAGTCTAACTATTTTTGTTTGAGAAAGGGCAGAAGAAGAAGAATCAACCAAGAGGTAAATGTATGAGATAACACAAACCTTCTTCGTCACTTGGGATAGAACATGTTTCTTCTTCATCATCATCAACAGCATCAACACTGTCTCGTCTGTAAACAAGAACAAAACACTACTGTGGCATTACAGCACAAAGTAACTGATAAGCTACATACCAGTCCTATATAATAACACAACAGTGCCTACACTACTGGAGGGGATACACTATCACTGTGGGCTAACATGGATAAAACAAAGCTGCTAACTTGTGGGATGACATTTTAATTGTTTTTACAGCTTAATTCTGTAATTTATGGTTCACTAGACAAATTTTTAAAAAATGATCATTCAGGTTGGGAAAATATATTCAGTTAGTGTCATTATTGAGTGCAGCAAAAATTGTAGTGTTTAACTTTCAACAAATGTAAAAATATTTTTTTTCTAAGAAATTAAAAATTTCTGATAAAATGATTTCCCTTGTAAAGGTTAGGTAGACCTGTAATGTAAACATTTTTTTATTTATTTGGGCAAGTGGGTTCTGGGACGGAAAATGAAAAAAGTGGGTTGTGGGAGGACAGGCAGAAAACATCTTGAATAGAGGTCCATTTCTTAATCTTGGGAACAGACAAAAATAAATGCAAAAAAAAAAGCACCAACAGTAACAATTTTTTTTTTGTAAATAAAGTTATACTACTATTTATTATTGAACTACCTTTACTTTCCCTACTGGGTTAGCTGTGGGACACAGCTGGGTCAGTACAGCGTTATATTAACTCTAGTAGAGTATATTTCACTGAATGTTAGCCTTGAGATAATGAGAAACTGATCCTAATATAAACCTGATCTATTGTGAAACTTAAAACTAGCATATAAACTGGCATTCTGTTGCCACAATTATCATATAAAGCACATATGGTCAATTGAAATAAAGGGAAACAGTAAAAGTCAATTCTAATTAAAACAAAGGGACATTTGGTAAACAGGTCAATTCTAATAAAACAAATGGACAGGTAAACAGGTCAATTCTAGTTTAACAACAGGGGTGGTTGGTACAGGTCAATTCTAATTGAAACAAAGGACACTGGGTAAACAGGTCATCTCTACCAGAGATGGTGGTACAGCTACATTCTAGCTTAGAGCGAGGGTTAAATGCATAAAACTTACGACTGACTTATCCATGAAATCCTTATTTGTTAAAAATTTAAACAGGTTAGTTAAAAACAGCATGGTTAAAACAGAATGTTAAATGTAGATGTGTTTAGTCACTACATACTACACCTATAAAATAGATCACTGAAAGTATTAGTAGTGATGTTATTTGGTGGAATGTTTTATGGTTGTGATGTTATTGGGTGGGATGTTTTATGGTTGTGATGTTATTGGGTGGGATGTTTTATGGTTGTGATGTTATTGGGTGGGATGTTTTATGGTTGTGATGTTATTGGGTGGGATGTTTTATGGTTGTGATGTTATTGGGTGGGATGTTTTATGGTTGTGATGTTATTGGGTGGGATGTTTTATGGTTGTGATGTTATTGGGTGGGATGTTTTATGGTTGTGATGTTATTGGGTGGGATGTTTTATGGTTGTGATGTTATTGGGTGGGATGTTTTATGGTTGTGATGTTATTGGGTGGGATGTTTTATGGTTGTGATGTTATTGGGTGGGATGTTTTATGGTTGTGATGTTATTGGGTGGGATGTTTTATGGTTGTGATGTTATTTGATGGGATGTTTTATTTTCTGTTTAGAAGGACAGGATATGGGTTTTATAAGTCTTAAATGCAGGACATAAAATATAAGTTGATGATTTAAGCCTGCTTTAAATTCCACCTGGACATATCTGTGTGTAGAGGAAGAGAGCTGGACAAAGACTAGCCCACCACTCAACTAGTGGAACCTTTAGAACAGACCATCACAAAATATTTTCAAGCTACTGTACACAAACATGTTTACCTGTCAAGAATCATTTTCTCGTAAATTTCTCCACCATCATTGGGGAAGATCTCCTCCTGGTGCACAATGATGATCTTAATGATTTCATTGACGCTAGCCTGGAAGGTCACCTGGTCACGGTCTGGTGGGATGGGCAGCAGCGTTGGCCCAAAACAGATGGCCAAGTTGTAAGGGTCCATCATATTCTCATCACTGTATTCAGTCAAGCTAGAAAAGACAATTGGTCAGATTCTGGGTCAGTCATGGACCAGGTACCAAAATACAATTTTAATGTTATGTTTTTGTTGTAAATGTGACATGCTATATCAGTGAAGAACCAAATATTCAAGTGATGTCAATGAGATACCAAATTTACAACAGAATCTGTTGTAAATGTGATGTCACTGAGGTACCAAAGGAGGTTGTTATAGGGGAGCCGGACGTTTTCCCGAAAGACACTTGCCCGAATGCCGTTTGCCCGAAGGCCGATTTCCCGAATGGACACTTGCCCGAAGGCCGATTTCCCGAATGGACACTTGCCCGAATGCGACAAATGCCCGAATGGACACTTGCCCGAATGCGACAAATGCCCGAATGGACACTTGCCCGAATAGGACAAATGCCCGAATGGACACTTGCCCGAAGGCCGTTTGCCCGAAAAATGTATTAGATAATAAATAATATTTCCAAATAGACATTCTTTAATCAATTTAAGTTTGAAATTTTGATTATAAACACAATTCTAAGCATAAAAGTTGTTTATATTTTTAAATTTAGCTTTTATTTTTTTTTCAAAACTGAGAAAGAGCTGTAAGAAAAACTTTATTCTTTAATAAATGTAAGGTGATGTTGGCGGCGGTGTTTTAACATTCTTTCGATGTATGTTTTGAACACCTTGTTTAGCCGACGTGTTGCGGTGGTTATATAGCTTTTATGACACGGCGTAGTAGGCGGCGCGGCGTCTCGCAACATTGAACAGAGACGCGTTTGTTTGTTTATCTTATTATGCTTAACTTGTGTGGTGATCATTTAACAAAAGAATGAGGCGAGGTCTAGGTGGCGAATTTAAATACTAAACGTAGTCAGATATGTTTGATCTCCATTTAATGCACCTTGTTAAGACAATGTGTTGAAGCGATTACTTAATAAAGAAAGCAAAACTCATTTTAAAATCCGGAGATGAATGAAAATTGTATTTTTGTCTAATTTCATATATGAAAGAGAAAGTATGTTTCTACACTTTTTAAATATCAAATACAAATTAATTTAAAATGTCTGCGTAAACATTTAGAGTGAACTACAACTCACCAGGCCATGTAGGGTGGTGGTGGGGGGTGGTGGGGGGGGGGGGGGTAGCGATAGAGAGGAAGAGAGGGGACTGCAAAGGCGCGCTTGCAGCTTGTTTTCTAACGTCTCCCAGAAGAGAATTATATATATAGATTTTTTTCACTTTCTTTTTTGCGTAGATGTGGGTTTTTTACCAAAATTTCAAATTTAAATTGATTACGAATGATTATTTAGTAATATATAATGTTAACATTTTTCGGGCAAACAGCCTTCGGGCAAGTGGCATTCGGGCAAGTGTCCATTCGGGCATTTGTCGCATTCGGGCAAGTGTCCATTTGGGCGTTTGTCGCATTCGGGCAAGTGTCCATTCTGGCATTTGTCGCATTCGGGCAAGTGTCCATTCGGGAAATCGGAATTCGGGCAAACGGCATTCGGGCAAGTGTCTTTCGGGAATTTGTCGTAGACCCCCCCCAGGTCTACCAAGACTGACAGGTGTACTCACTGGTTTAGGAAGGCAAATAGGTATCTCATGACAACAAAAATGGCTCGGTTGACCCCAGACAACAAATCTTTGATCCTCTCCACACGTTTGGACATTTCTTTCTCCCCTGCAACAGACAAGTGTCAAATGATTCAAATAGTTTACTGAAGCTTTAAAACACATGAGCCTGAGTACTACAGACAAGAGTCAAATGATTCAAATAGTTTACTGAAGCTTTAAGCTGAAAACAAAAGAACCTGAGTACTACAGACAAGAGTCAAATGATTCAAGTAGTTTACTGAAGCTTTAAAACACATGAGCCTGAGTACTACAGACAAGAGTCAAATGATTCAAGTAGTTTACTGAAGCTTTAAAACACATGAGCCTGAGTACTACAGACAAGAGTCAAATGATTCAAATAGTTTACTGAAGCTTTAAGCTGAAAACAAAAGAACCTGAGTACTACAGACAAGAGTCAAATGATTCAAATAGTTTACTGAAGCTTTAAGCTGAAAACACAAGAATCTGAGTACTACAGACAAGTGTCAAATGATTCAAGTAGTTTACTGAAGCTTTAAAACACAAGAGCCTGAGTACTAGAGCTGGTTGGAGGTTCTCTTACTTGTACATTCCACTAGAGCATCAAACAGGTGAAGTGGAAACAATGGCTCCCTGAGTTCTCTGAAGTACAGTTTTAGAACCCCTGCTACTGAGTTGATTTCACTAGCATCTATAACATCAGCCAGAGCATCTTCTCCTGGGGACCAAACACAACATTCGGATCATCAGGGTATATACATGCTACACACAAATGATACACTATGCATGTGTGTCATACAAATAGTACACTGTACATGTGCTACATACGAATGTTACATGAAAAAAGTACAGATAGTTTTTACATTATGATGTACAGAAGAAGGAGAGATCAATATTTACCTGATTCAAATGTACTTTTAAACTGATTGATTTCTACCTGGGCGCCAGACACCCTGAACACACCTTGGTGGTGAAGCCCTGCGGATCAAACAGTTTGTCTTAACATAAAGTCATCTAATGTCATACAACAGACACTTGTTTCATATACATGCTGGGGGGGGGGGGTCAAATTGGTTTATACACCTTTTAATATACTAATATTAATATAAATTAATACTAGAGGGTACAGAATTTTTAATATACTTTATACAAAATTTACTACTGAAAAAACCCACACAGAATTAAATCAACACAGGCCCAGTGTTAGAGCTCACAAGTGATAAAATAAAAGTCACAAGTTTGATTCTCTACACCCCATTTGCCCTACTGACTCTCTTGTCTCAAAGTGTAACCTTTCCATCAACAAGACTACCAGATTGTACAGAACCTACCATATAAATTAATACTACAGGGTACAGAACCTACCATATAAATTAATGACTCTGATGCAGCTCTTGATTATAAGTGGGATTTCCTGGCTTGTTGCCTGGAAAAATAAAATGTACCTGAAGTAGCCATACAGTACATTTAGCTGTCAACAGTTGCTGTCATACTTGGAGCTAGCTGTCAACAGTTGCTGTCATAGCTGTGGCTAGCTGTACAACAATTGTAGTTACCAGTGGTACAACTAAAGTTTCCTTGAAAAAGTAGTCTTAAATTATTTTATTTATTTTATGAATACATTTTTCTTTTGTTTGTCTGTCTAGTAAACACTGAGTTTTTCTCTGCCATTTTCCTGATGTAAACAATTCTTGTTATCTTTACCTCAATATATTCTTCCAGACTTCCCCCAAATAGTTTGGGTTGTCCCACCCGCGGGTGGTGGCCTATCCTGCGTTTCTTTGGCTTAGGTGGGGGTGCGGGAGGCCGAGATGACCCTGAGCTCTGTTTCTCCCCTAGAGCCCTCTGTATGGCCGTATGTTTAGACTGAAGTCTGGCCAAGCGGTTGCAGCTCAGTGTGTATTCTCTGAATTTCTGCTCACCAAAACATACAAATATTAGCTCAGGAATAAACACACAACTGCTTTGTTTACATTAGAATACAAATACTTTTTTTTTTACATTAGAATAGAGATACTACTATTTACATTAGAATACAGATACTACTTTTTACATTAGAAAATAAAAATACTACTTTTTACATTAGAATAGAATACGGATATTATTTATTACATTAGAATACAGATACTCCTTTTAAACTAGCAATAACACAGTATTGATTTAATCTAAAAACTAGATGAGTGTGCACCTCTAGGTAATAGGACTCTGTCTCCAGTCTGTCAGCTCTCAGCTTAGCTTGTTCATGGGGCGACCTGGGCGGGGCGGACTCATCCTCAAAGTATTTGGTAATGTCGTAGTCCCTGACTTGAATGGCATCAACCAGCGTTTTCTCCGTAGTTTCTAGCGTCTTCCAGATCTATCAAATGGGATGATTCATGAATTAAAACATTTTCATTTCACTGTGGTCTTATCCACTTCACCACTCAACCGTGTCTGTTGCACTCCACAAGCATATTGGCAAGCTCTACCTCAAGTAGAGTGAACCAACAGCTCTGTGTAAACAAATACCTCATCATTCTCCACTTTGAGACTGTTGAGCCTGTCCTCAATGGTCAAGTGCCGCTGTAGCAGGTCATCTTGAACTTCTTTTTGTGCACTGATCTGACACACCTGGTGTAGGACAGTAGAGTTTTTAATCAGTCATCTGATTTACACAGGTACAGTAACACAATAACACATGTCATCTGATTTACACAGGTACAATAACACATGTCATGTGATTTACATAGGTACAATAACACATGTCATGTGATTTACACAGGTACAATAACACATGCCATTTGATTTACAAAGGTAGGTTGATAATTAACATGTTATCTGATTAATATATTTAGTTATTAACACATGATATCTGAATAACAGACAAACAGCATAGAGCCTACCATCTACATGCCATCTGATGACACATGCCATCTGAGAGACCCATGATTAACCAGTTGAAAGCACTACTCACCTCATCTCCTTTGAATGGCTGGAATTCAAATTTTTTGGGCAGCATAAAGTAAACATTGTTGAGTTCCATGAACTTCTGCTTGTCAGCTCTAGAGTCCAGGTCTGTGATGCAGGCGTTGAGCATGTCGATGGACTTGGCGTGGGTGTTCTTCTGGTGCTCGTGTATGCCCAGGTACATCATCATTGATCTACCCACGGAGTTGTGGTAGCCAAAGTCCATGCACTGAAAGACATTCAACTTCTTCAGATCTGACAGCTCAATGATTACACTCACTATTTGATACTTTTATATCAGACCATTGTATTAGCTACAGTTAAGTTTTACCAGGACCAATAGATTGATATTATAAAGAGCTAATTTACTTGGCCAAAGATCTTATACTAAACAGAAGTGGTGACTTACATCCATGAGATCAGAAATATCATCAGAAAAATACTTGTTGATGGCTGCATTGGCTGCGTCTATACACAGCAGGTAATCATTCCTAGCCTTCAGGGCCTTCAGCTTGTTGTCAGCATATTTCTGTTGTTTCTGGTGGTCAAGTAGTTTATCAGGTCAGTACATGAAATCATTTAGTGGTCAAGTTAGTTTATCAGGTCAGTACATGAAATCATTCAGTGGTCATATGAGTATATTAGTAACAATTGTGAACGATATGTTCTCCATCAGTCTTAACTTTATCCCCCACTCTTGCCTCCAATTAGTGATCAACAAGTGACCTCCGTTCCTGCCTACCACACCCTCCCATAACTGACCATTCAATAAGCTCACCCCACCCCTTAAAGCACTTATCTCTCCATCCCCCCCCCCCCACCTTATGAACTCACCTTCTCCACCTGTCTCTCCATCCCCCCCAACACTCACCTTCACCTGTCTCTCCATCCCCCCCAACACTCACCTTCACCTGTCTCTCCCCCCATGAACTCACTTTCTCCACCTGTCTCTCCATCCCCCCCCCAACACTCACCTTCACCTGTCTCTCCCCCCATGAACTCACCTTCTCTACCTGTCTCTCCATCCCCCCCTATGAACTCACCTTCTCCACCTGTCTCTCCATCCCCCCCCCCCACACTGTTCTCACCTTCTCTACCTGTCTCTCTCCCCCCCCCCCCCATGAACTCACCTTCTCCACCTGTCTCTCCAACCCCCCCCATGAACTCACCTTCTCCACCTGTCTCTCCATCCTCCCCCCCCATGAACTCACCTTCTCCACCTGTCTCTCCATCCCCCCCCCATGAACTCACCTTCTCCACCTGTCTTTCCACCCCCCCCCCCAATTACTCACCTTCTCCACCTCTCCCCCTTCCCCCATGAACTCACCTTCTCCACCTGTCTCTCCCCCCATGAACTCACCTTCTCCACCTCTCCCCCTTCCCCCATGAACTCACCTTTTCCACCTGTCTCTCCCCCCATGAACTCACCTTCTCCACCTGTCTCTCCATCCCCCCCCCCATGAGCTCACCTTCTCCACCTGTCTTTACACCCCCCCCCCCAATTACTCACCTTCTCCACCTCTCCCCCTTCCCCCATGAACTCACCTTCTCCACCTGTCTCTCCCCCCATGAACTCACCTTCTCCACCTGTTTCTCCATCCCTCCCCCCCATTACTCACCTTCTCCACCTGTCTCTCCAGCCCCTTGAGTTTCCTACTGCTGCTGTTTTTCCCAGAGAGCTGCTGCTCCACCTTTTGTTTCTGAGACTCCACGTTCTTCAGCTTCAGCTCAGCCTGCTTGCTCTCATTCTGGTACAGGTGGTAGGTCTTCATGGCCTGAAAGTCAGCAGTTACAGCAGGTGAGCAGGTGATGGTAGATGGGGGCAGGTGATGGTAGATGGTGATGGTAGATGGGGGCAGGTGATGGTAGATGGGGGCAGGTGATGGGGGCAGGTGATGGTAGATGGGGCAGGTGATGGTAGATGGGGGCAGGTGATGGTAGATGGGGGCAGGTGATGGTAGATGGGGGCAGGTGATGGTAGATGGGGGCAGGTGATGGTAGATGGGGGCAGGTGATGGTAGATGGGGGCAGGTGATGGTGATGGTAGATGGGGCAGGTGATGGTAGATGGGGCCAGGTGATGGTGATGGTAGATGGGGCAGGTGATGGTAGATGGGGGCAGGTGATGGTAGATGGGGGCAGGTGATGGTAGATGGGGGCAGGTGATGGTAGATGGGGGCAGGTGATGGTAGATGGTGATGGTAGATGGGGGCAGGTGATGGTAGATGGGGGCAGGTGATGGTAGATGGGGGCAGGTGATGGTGATGGTAGATGGGGCAGGTGATGGTAGATGGGGCAGGTGATGGTAGATGGGGGCAGGTGATGGTAGATGGGGCAGGTGATGGTAGATGGGGGCAGGTGATGGTAGATGGGGGCAGATGGTGGTGGGGGCAGGTGATGGTAGATGGGGGCAGGTGATGGTAGATGGGGGCAGGTGATGGTAGATGGGGCCAGGTGATGGTAGATGGGGCCAGGTGATGGTAGATGGGGGCAGGTGATGGTAGATGGGGGCAGGTGATGGTAGATGGGGGCAGGTGATGGTAGATGGGGGCAGGTGATGGTAGATGGGGGCAGGTGATGGTAGATGGGGGCAGGTGATGGTAGATGGGGGCAGGTGATGGTAGATGGTGATGGTAGATGGGGCAGGTGATGGTAGATGGGGGCTGTTGATGGTAGATGGGGCAGGTGATGGTAGATGGGGGCAGGTGATGGTAGATGGGGGCAGGTGATGGTAGATGGGGGCAGGTGATGGTAGATGGGGGCAGGTGATGGTAGATGGGGGCAGGTGATGGTAGATGGGGCCAGGTGATGGTGATGGTAGATGGGGCAGGTGATGGTAGATGGGGGCAGGTGATGGTAGATGGGGGCAGGTGATGGTAGATGGGGCAGGTGATGGTAGATGGTGATGGTAGATGGGGGCAGGTGATGGTAGATGGGGGCAGGTGATGGTAGATGGGGGCAGGTGATGGTTGATGGGGGCAGGTGATGGTAGATTGTAGATGGGGGCAGGTGATGGTAGATGGGGGCAGGTGATGGTAGATGGTGATGGTAGATGGGGGCAGGTGATGGTAGATGGGGGCAGGTGATGGTAGATGGGGGCAGGTGATGGGAGCAGGTGATGGTAGATGGGGGCAGGTGATGGTAGATGGGGGCTGTTGATGGTAGATGGGAGCAGATGATGGTAGATGGTGGTGGTAGATGGGGGCAGGTGATGGTAGATAGTCTGGTGATAGTGAATTAGACCAGATGAGGATAAGAAAAAAATCAAAACACTTACACTTTGTAATTCATTGAGAACTTTCATCATATCTTCATGGGAGACGGCTCCTATTTCTCTACACTGTATCCATGAGAGAAATATTTACATTAGCTTTGTTTACATTTGTATCAGATATAGTATAAGATCCAGTCACACAAGCCATCAGTCTAGATGTTATCCTACACCACCAACCCACATTATCCTACACCACCAACCCACATTATCCTACACCACCAACCCACATTATATTACACCACCAACCCACATTATATTACACCACCAACCCACATTATCCTACACCACCAACCCACATTATCCTACACCACCAACCCACATTATATTACACCACCAACCCACATTATCCTACACCACCAACCCACATTATCCTACACTGCCAACCCACATTATATTACACCACCAACCCACATTATATTACACCATCAACACACATTATCCTACACCACCAACCCACATTATCCTACACCACCAACACACATTATCCTACACCACCAACACACATTATCCTACACCGCCAACCCACATTATATTACACCATCAACACACATTATCCTACACCACCAACCCACATTATCCTACACCACCAACACACATTATATTACACCACCAACCCACATTATATTACACCATCAACACACATTATGCTACACACCAACCCACATTATCCTACACCACCAACCCACATTATCCTACACCACCAACCCACATTATCCTACACCGCCAACCCACATTATATTACACCATCAACACACATTATCCTACACCACCAACCCACATTATCCTACACCACCAACCCACATTATCCTACACCACCAACCCACATTATCCTACACCGCCAACCCACATTATATTACACCATCAACACACATTATCCTACACCACCAACCCACATTATCCTACACCACCAACACACATTATCCTACACCGCCAACCCACATTATATTACACCATCAACACACATTATCCTACACCACCAACCCACATTATCCTACACCACCAACACACATTATCCTACACCGCCAACCCACATTATATTACACCATCAACACACATTATGCTATACACCAACCCACATTATCCTACACCACCAACCCACATTATCCTACACCGCCAACCCACATTATATTACACCATCAACACACATTATGCTACACACCAACCCACATTATCCTACACCACCAACCCACATTATCCTACACCACCAACACACATTATATTACACCACCAACCCACATTATATTACACCATCAACACACATTATATTACCCCACCAACCCACATTATCCTACACCACCAACCTACATTATCCTACACCACCAACCCAAATTACCCTACACCACCAACCCAAATTACCCTACACCACCAACCCACATTATGTTACACCACCAACCCAGATTATCCTACACCACCAACCCACAATATGCAACACCACCAACCCACATTATCCTACACCACCAACCCACATTATCCTACACCACCAACCCACATTATCCTACACCACCAACCCACATTATCCTACACCACCAACCCACATTATTCAACACCACCAACCCACATTATCCTACACCACCAACCCACATTATGCAACACCACCAACCCACATTATCCTACACCACCAACCCACATTATATTACACCATCAACACACATTATCCTACACCACCAACCCACATTATCCTACACCACCAACCCACATTATCCTACACCACCAACCCACATTATACCACTCATCTACTCCCCAACAACGTAATCCCCCAATGTTTGAACCCCCATAGATTCCACTGACCTTTCTGAAAATCCTCTGTGAGTTGTCAATGACCTCAGCTAGCCTGCTGACCATCTGGTTGTTGTAGATCTCTGCTATGATCTGATGGTCCTGACTCTGCTTGCGTGTGATGGCCAGCAGATTCTTCCAGCAGTCGTAGGTTGACATGGTGGCCCATTGCTCTTGTCTGGAGGGGGACAGATAACACTTGAGAAAACATTTCCTACACACATCTCAATGACAATGTCCTTTTTTTTCTAAGCCTTGGCAAAACATTCTTTGTCTGACTACGTTCAAGCTGTTTTTTTATCAGAGTTTTATCATGTTTATAAAATCAGCAGCCCATCTGGCAATTACTTTCACTACCTTACTCTATGCTTGCCAAAAACAAAAAATCAAAAGTCTAACTCTAAAATAAACTTCTACAAAAAAAATGTTAAAAAAAAACCTAGAAAAAAAAAACCCTAAGATTCTCCTACACTAGAGTTAGATCTTTATAAATTTGTGATTCAATTAAAATCGACTAAGTCTATATTTCTAGATGTTATAATTGTTTGAAGTGGGATAATTAAAAGGTTCAAACAAAACTACACAGGTTAGATACACTCAAATATGCAAAGTTCAACCACTGTAGTTTTAAATATACTGCAATTTTTGTTTTCTATTACCAAAGTTAATTATTCTATACATTTAATCCATCTAACTGAATGTCTTGATCTGTATGATGGAATATATGACCAAGTTAATGTGATTTATATTTTTTGTTGTTGAATCCATGCAATTATATTTTGTACAATACATTGGTTAGTCCAGATGTCTTTAACTGCTGGTACTGGCTGTGTTATGACCAGCAAGATTTAGGTAACAACCTATAGTGACCCATTGGACAACAACCTATAGTGAACCCTAGGACAAGAACCTATGGTGACCCATTGGACAAGCTATGGTGACCCATTGGACAACAACCTATAGTGAACCCTAGGACAAGAACCTATGGTGACCCATTGGACAAGAACCTATGGTGACCCATTGGACAAGAACCTATGGTGACCCATTGGACAAGAACCTATGGTGACCCATTGGACAAGAACCTATGGTGACCCATTGGACAACAACCTATAGTGAACCCTAGGACAAGAACCTATGGTGACCCATTGGACAAGAACCTATGGTGACCCATTGAACAAGAACCTATGGTGACCCATTGGACAAGAACCTATGGTGACCTATTGGACAAGAACCTTTGGTGACCCATTGGACAAGAACCTATGGTGACCCATTGGATAAGAACCTATGGTGACCCATTGGACAAGAACCTATGGTGACCCATTGGACAAGAACCTATGGTGACCCATTGGACAAGCTATGGTGACCCCTAGGACAAGAACCTCTGGTGACCCATTGGACAAGAACCTCTGGTGACCCATTGGACAAGAACCTATGGTGACCCATTGGACAAGAACCTATGGTGACCCATTGGACAAGAACCTATGGTGACCCATTGGACAAGAACCTATGGTGACCCATTGGACAAGAACCTAGTCTTGTGACCAACTGGACCTTTGAATAGCCTGATACTCACTGATAGCCATTTTTGTTTAATAAAAATGATGTATTAAACAGACTAATCAATAAATTTAAAAAATATTTGTTGACCAAGTAAAATGATGACTAAAATAACTAACATGACAGTGCATGAACTATCTAGTGCTAGCAAGCAAAATGTGAGTTGCCAAAGCTAAGAGTACACTGTAGTGACAATGTAATGATACAATGTAATGATACAATGTAATGATACATTTGGTTGAGAAAAACAAACTCACTTTTGTTTATCAACAATCCTGTTTGAAATCATGAAATCCAATTAAATCACACATGATTGGTTGACCCATAGAGTCACACACCATCTCACACACATATGGTAACAACAATTCACCAACATAAATAATTCAAACATGCACACCCAAACAATTTGAAAATAACACACATTCCACACATCAGCATCAACAATCACAAACAGATTAAGTTCACATTAGCACAACATGCAAAACAGTGTATTGAAACACATTTTTTGTCAAAAAATTTCCCTGAAATTTATTAACTATAAACATTTTCATTTCAGACATGTTTTTTAAAAAATTGCAGTAGGACTATTGACAGTTACAACTGTCACTATGGCCACTTACAATGGACAGCTAACCTGTCACTACGGCCGCTTACAATGGACAGTTAACCTGTCACTATGGCAACATACAATGGACAGTTAACCTGTCACTACGGCCACATACAATGGACAGTTAACCTGTCACTACGGCCACATACAATGGACAGTTAACCTGTCACTACGGCCACTGGACAGTTAACCTGTCACTACGGCCACTAACAATGGACAGTTAACCTGTAACTACGGCCACTCACAATGGACAGTTAACCTGTAACTACGGCCACTGGACAGTTAACCTGTCACTATGGCCACTTACAATGGACACTTAACCTGTTTGTCACCATGTTAACCACATACAATGGACAGTTAACCTGTCTATCACTTTGACCACTAACAAAGCTCAATGACCTGTCAGCACCAGTGGAAAGATATGCACAAGTTAGAGTAGGTAATGCAATGAAAGCTATTGGGTAAAAGCAGTAGAGTGCCATGTATTATAGCATCAAGCAGTTCTACTGTAATTAAGCCTGACAGCCCATTAGGCAACTATAGACACTAGATATTTTTCAACCAATCGGATCAATGCAATGTAAACTTGCATCACTAATTAACTATTGATCAATTAAATTTACTTAATATAAGATTGTTTATTTAAACAATATTAATTTAATATAGAAATAACCATACAAATTGCCCAGTGGTACAAAAAGCCCTATGCCCAATGATAAAAAGCCTTCTGCCCAATGATAAAAAGCCATCTGCCCAATGAAAAAAAACCCTCTGCCCAATGAAAAAAGCCCTCTGTGTAAAGAAAACCAGACAACTCACTTTTGTTTCTCTGCCCTATGTCTGGCTATCATGTTCTTGACCAGCTTGTCCAGGTTTCTGGCATATTCCTGTTCTACCTCTGCCCTCCGTTTGAAAAATTCTTGAAGTTCAGTTACTATGGATACCTCAGTGTCTAGTTTGATTTCAAGGCATTTCAGCTGGTCATTTAACTGTTGGCGTATATCTGGGTAAGATAAAAATATAATACATTAGGATACGGTTGTTAGATACCTGAGCCAAAATAAAGAGTACAATACATTAGGATAAGGTTTTTGGATATCTGTGCAAGATAAAGGGTAAAATTCATTAGTATAAGTTGGTGGACATCTGGGCAAGATAAAAATATAATTCATTAGTCTAAGGATGGTGGAGATCTAGCATTACATGAAGACATCATTCCTTGCCTGATCTGACATCAAACATGTATTAAAATGGCATTATACATGATATTTCTTCTTTCTTCTTCTACGTTCTTAATTTTAGTGTTGGAAGGGATTCCCCTCCAACACAATTAAGGAGACGTGGCAACTTGTTATCCGCTATTGAGGCCATTGACTCCGATTTCAGCCTGCTTTTCTTGTTTGGATTTGCTTCCAGTGCCTTTGCCCATCCAAGAGCAAACTACAAGGCAGCAGTTGTTTGATTTTGGAGTTGTCTCTCCTAGAAGAGTGGCTGTCCCCAGCTAACGAGCCTCATCTTCCCGAGGGTTCAAACTCTAGACTTTTTGGTTTAGCAGCCATGAGCTTTACTGACTCGACCACGCCGACCCCCATATACATGATGACATTATACATGTACTTAACTGACATCATACAATACATATGGGGGAAGGGGTAAAAAACAAACAATATTTTATTGGGGGAGGGGGTCTAGAACCTGTTTTCGTGTGGGGGTTGGGAGCAGGAAAACTATTCCAGTTGGGGGGGGGGGTGTAAAACCTGTATTCTATCAGTGGGGGGGAGGGGGAGTGGCCAGCACCTGTATTCTAGTGTCAGGTTTCTCCTTGTCCCTATGACCTGATGTGTTCTAGTTCCTTAAACAATCCAAAGATGTTTGCAATGTGAGGGGTGACTAGTCAGGCTGTAACCCACACATATAGAAGTTTGTTTCTCTCTGGTTTAAGAGTGTGACAACACATTATATGGTAACAGTGTGTACACTGTCTTCAGATTAGGTAATCATGTCCTTCTTAATTGTAATGTTGGACAGGATTTCCTCCAGCAAATTAAGTATTATGAGTCAACTTGATTCGCCATAATGGCCATTGACTCCTGTTTCAGTCTACTTTTCTATCTGGATTTGCTTCCATAGCCATTGTGCAACCAAGAACAAGCTACAAAGCAGCAGTTGTTTGAAAAATTTTTTTATCCAAGATAGGTTGCTGTTCCCATGGTATTCATGTGATTATTTCAACATTCAAAGAAGTGATAAGTTGTTCTATCCTAACATTCATAGAAGGGATAATTTGCTCTATCCTAACATTCATAGAAGGGATAAGATGCTCTATCCTAACATTCATAGAAGGGATAAGTTGCTCTATCCTAACATTCATAGAAGGGATAAGTTGCTCTATCCCAACATTTAAAGCAGGAATAAGTTTCTCTATCCCAACATTCATAGAAGGGATAAGTTGCTCTATCCCAACATTCATAGAAGGGATAAGTTGCTATATCCCAACATTAAACGTAGGGATAAGTTACACCAGATATGCAAATAGGATAAGAAGACAGTTTAGTAATTACTACAGTGGAAAAGCTTAACTTAACTTAAGCTATTTGTAGAACCAAACTGCAAGTCTTTACAAGCTATGAACTTAAGATTTGTGATTATTTCAACATAAATACTAAGAAGAGCAGCTGATATGTACTAAAATATGAGCAACGTATAATCAAACCACATAAATAGCTGATGACATAAGAAGTGAGTATACCTAAAATGGATAACTTAGTACCAACACCGTCCCTATAGCCCTTGGAGTGACGTCTGCCGTTGGCTGAAAACATTGTTGTCGATTTGACCAGTTTCCCGGCCCGGGGGTCAAGCGGAGCGTCAGACAAGTAGGGCTGGGGCGGGCTAACCAGTCCATTCTCGCCATTTGTTACGGCATCCTTACAGCACTTGTCCGTGTCTGCCATTGTGTTCACTGAGTTACCTCCACATAATCCAATCACAGAGTTACCCGCCCTACACGCCCAGCGAGGTCATTACGTCATGTGTACACGTCACTCACGGTGGTGAAAGATAAACTAGATGACGACATTACCGAGACAAATTAAAAACAAGCCGCGGTAATGAACGAGCCAAACCACGTGACCAGCGAGCAGACGCTGGCCAGATGGCCGGGCACAAGACAACATCAAGAGACAAACGGAAGACAACTCTTTAAACACCGGAACATTCGCGAGAACCAAATGAGAACGACGTGTCAATGGGGGCGGGCAAAGGTCAAGTAGATCGCTGTAGACATGGCTCAAGTGGCTCGCACCATAACATGACACAACTAGATGGACCAACACATCACTAGATGGATCAACACATCACTAGATGTAAGTTGTAAGGCTAGCATGACACAACTAGATGGATCAACACATCACTAGATGTAAGTTGTAAGGCTAGCATGACACAACTAGATGGATCAACACATCACTAGATGTAAGTTGTAAGGCTAGCATGACACAACTAGATGTAAACAACACATCACTAGATGTAAGTTGTAAGGCTAGCATGACACAACTAGATGGACCAACACATCACTAGATGTAAGTTGTAAGGCTAGCATGACACAACTAGATGTAAACAACACATCACTAGATGTAAGTTGTAAGGCTAGCATGACACAACTAGATGGACCAACACATCACTAGATGTAAGTTGTAAGGCTAGCATGACACAACTAGATGTAAACAACACATCACTAGATGTAAGTTGTAAGGCTAGCATGACACAACTAGATGGATCAACACATCACTAGATGTAAGTTGTAAGGCTAGCATGACACAACTAGATGGATCAACACATCACTAGATGTAAGTTGTAAGGCTAGCATGACACAGTTAGATGGATCAACACATCACTAGATGTAAGTTGTAAGGCTAGCATGACACAACTAGATGGACCAACACATCACTAGATGTAAGTTGTAAGGCTAGCATGACACAACTAGATGGATCAACACATCACTAGATGTAAGTTGTAAGGCTAGCATGACACAACTAGATGGACCAACACATCACTAGATGTAAGTTGTAAGGCTAGCATGACACAACTAGATAGATCAACACATCACTAGATGTAAGTTGTAAGGCTAGCATGACACAACTAGATGGATCAACACATCACTAGATGTAAGTTGTAAGGCTAGCATGACACAACTAGATAGATCAACACATCACTAGATGTAAGTTGTAAGGCTAGCATGACACAACTAGATGGATCAACACATCACTAGATGTAAGTTGTAAGGCTAGCATGACACAACTAGATGGACCAACACATCACTAGATGTAAGTTGTAAGGCTAGCATGACACAACTAGATAGACCAACACATCACTAGATGTAAGTTGTAAGGCTAGCATGACACAGTTAGATGGATCAACACATCACTAGATGTAAGTTGTAAGGCTAGCATGACACAACTAGATGGATCAACACATCACTAGATGTAAGGCTAGCATGACACAACTAGATGTAAACAACACATCATTAGAGTAACAACACCAGTGTTTCTTTCAGAAAGTTTTTCTCCGGGGGTGGGGTGGGGGTGGGCACTTGAATTTTTCGGGGAGGCGGACTACATTTCACTAGGGGGAGGGAGGTAAAAGTATATATTATATATTCTATATAAATTATATTTCGTTGGGGGGGGGGGGGGGGGGGGGGGGCTTAAGATGTTGCCAACGAAGAGATGCCTGAAAGAAACACTGAACAACACATGACTAGATGCACGACATCGCTACATGTGTCGTAGCTGCCAGACCTACCACTACACTACGTCATGTGCAGCACATGAGGAAATTGACGTCACCCATTGTACACATCAATCCATCATAATAATTACGTGACTCCTACACAATACACATCAATCCATCATAATAATAACGTGACTCCTACACAATACACATCAATCCATCATAATAATAACGTGACTCCTACACAATACACATCAATCCATCATACTAATTACGTGACTCCTACACACTTAATACACATCAATCCATCATAATAATAACGTGACTCCTACACAATACACATCAATCCGTCATAATAATGACGTGACTCCTACACAATACACATCAATCCATCATACTAATTACGTGACTCCTACACACTTAATACACATCAATCCATCATAATAATAACGTGACTCCTACACAATACACATCAATCCGTCATAATAATGACGTGACTCCTACACAATACACATCAATCCATCATAATAATAACGTGACTCCTACACAATACACATCAATCCATCATAATAATAACGTGACTCCTACACACTTAATACACATCAATCCATCATAATAATAACGTGACTCCTACACAATACACATCAATCCGTCATAATAATGACGTGACTCCTACACAATACACATCAATCCATCATAATAATAACGTGACTCCTACACAATACACATCAATCCATCATAATAATAACGTGACTCCTACACACTTAATACACATCAATCCATCATAATAATAACGTGACTCCTACACAATACACATCAATCCGTCATAATAATGACCTGACTCCTACACAATACACATCAATCCATCATAATAATAACGTGACTCCTACACAATACACATCAATCCGTCATAATAATGACGTGACTCCTACACAATACACATCAATCCATCATACTAATTACGTGACTCCTACACAATACACATCAATCCGTCATAATAATGACGTGACTCCTACACAATACACATCAATCCATCATAATAATAACGTGACTCCTACACAATACACATCAATCCATCATAATAATAACGTGACTCCTACACAATACACATCAATCCATCATACTAATTACGTGACTCCTAAACACTTAATACACATCAATCCATCATAATAATAACGTGACTCCTACACAATACACATCAATCCATCATACTAATTACGTGACTCCTAAACACTTAATACACATCAATCCATCATAATGACCATCACAAGCACACACGACATCTTGGGCCACACTACAACAAAGCACCTCAAGCACGTCGAGTGACGCGGGGATACGTCACAGCACGTGTTACCTGGGAACAACAGGTAAACCACCGCGTACAGATGGTTCCCGGCCAATGTGACGTCACCCACGTGCCACGGTTGGGTAAACACACGGGAAGAATAGTTTAATGAGCAGCTAATTGTTTGATCAACATGCCATTTTAATTAGCTTGCTCAAGATACAGTAACGCCCGAGGTCACCGCCAGAAATGGACCTGGGTCAATGACCATAAAGACGGGTATGGAGTGGGTAATGACCGCTGAGATACACAAATGACCAGTTGGTCGAACCCATTCACAGCAAGACCAGGCAGTTTCAAGGTCGTGAACCTGTAGACATTATACGTCGCCTGTCAACAGCCGGCCAGTGCTCTACGTCATTACTGGTCTAATGTTTGCTCAATGTTTGCTCAATGACCACATCCATTTGCCAGGTTTTGCCAGTCTGACCGACATTTTTGGGGGTGAAAGAAGCACATAGGGCTAATCGTCAGACACAATAGTCGATTTAGCACATTTAAAAAACAAACAAACAAGAAAAGTTTTGAAACACCATGAAACTAAAAAGCAATTTAATTCACCAATGTGATTTGGTGGTATCGGATCAACATCAACCGATGATATCGCCCATCCGGTGGTATCGCCCACACCATCCCGTGGTATCGAACCAGCACTAATGGTATAAGACCCACACCGACCCCTGTCCCACGTGAGCCCAGCTTGGGGCCATCTGTTACACCGTGCTATTCGGGGAGTACGATTGACCCGCATTAATAGTGACCAGTAGCTTGCACGTGCCACCAAAACTCATAGTATTCCAATAATGGTCTACCGTTTTTAACATTTGAGGCCACAGTCAAATGGATTTCTTATTTAAAAAGTGGCTGCATACATAGGAATGGGCTTTTATTGTAGTATAAATCTACTGAAGTACGAGACACACGAGACGTTGTGTGTGTATGTCTAGTTTCTGTGTGTGGCCAAATGATAGGAGACGTGTGTGTGGGACGATGTGTGCGTGTGTGTGTGTGTGTCTGTGTGACCAGCTGCTGTGTGTAACCAGACAAACCTTTGTCAGCCTGCTCGCTGGTTTAGTACTGTACACAAATTGAATGTTAGCTACACTATCAAGTTTTGATTTTCCCAAAAAAACTTGAGACATCAAGGAAGTTGAGTGTGGAGTGGTGTAATGGACGGGAAGAGGGCTAACATGGTGTAGAGGCAGGACCAACATCAACCGTTTCCTCTCGGCATTTACTCCAGTCAATCATCGAGAAAATGATGTTTGTAACTCAACAGTAATAATAGCATCGATTTTTATACAGCTGTATTATGAATGCGTAGAGCAAAGAGACAGCGGCCCCTAGAACTATGAGAGACAGTGGCCCCTAGAACTATGAGAGACAGTGGCCCCTAGAACTATGAGAGACAGTGGCCCCTAGAACTATGAGAGACAGTGGCCCCTAGAACTATGAGAGACAGTGGCCCCTAGAACTGGGAGAGACAGTGGCCCCTAGAACTGGGAGAGACAGTGGCCTCTAGAACTGGGAGAGACAGTGGCCCCTAGAACTGGGAGAGACAGTGGCCTCTAGAACTGGGAGAGACAGTGGCCCCTAGAACTGGGAGAGACAGTGGCCCCTAGAACTGGGAGAGACAGCGGCCCCTAGAGCAAGGAGAGACAGTGGCCCCTAGAACTGGGAGAGACAGTGGCCCCTAGAACTGGGAGAGACAGTGGCCCCTAGAACTGGGAGAGACAGTGGCCCCTAGAACTGGGAGAGACAGTGGCCTCTAGAACTGGGAGAGACAGTGGCCCCTAGAGCAAGGAGAGACAGTGGCCCCTAGAACTGGGAGAGACAGTGGCCCCTAGAACTGGGAGAGACAGTGGCCCCTAGAGCAAGGAGAGACAGTGGCCCCTAGAGCAAGGAGAGACAGTGGCCCCTAGAGCAAGGAGAGACAGTGGCCCCTAGAGCAAGGAGAGACAGTGGCCCCTAGAACTGGGAGAGACAGTGGCCCCTAGAACTGGGAGAGACAGTGGCCCCTAGAACTGGGAGAGACAGTGGCCCCTAGAACTATGAGAGACAGTGGCCTCTAGAACTGGGAGAGACAGTGGCCCCTAGAACTATGAGAGACAGTGGCCTCTAGAGCAAGGAGAGACAGTGGCCCCTAGAGCAAGGAGAGACAGTGGCCCCTAGAGCAAGGAGAGACAGTGGCCCCTAGAACTGGGAGAGACAGTGGCCCCTAGAGCAAGGAGAGACAGTGGCCCCTAGAGCAAGGAGAGACAGTGGCCCCTAGAGCAAGGAGAGACAGTGACCCCTAGAACTGGGAGAGACAGTGGCCCCTATAACTAAGAGAGACAGTGGCCCCTAGAACTAAGAGAGACAGTGGCCCCTAGAGCAAGGAGAGATAGTGGCCCCTAGAGCAAGGAGAGATAGTGGCCCCTAGAACTGGGAGAGACAGTGGCCCCTAGAGCAAGGAGAGACAGTGGCCCCTAGAACTGGGAGAGACAGTGGCCCCTAGAACTGGGAGAGACAGTGGCCCCTAGAGCAAGGAGAGACAGTGGCCCCTAGAACTGGGAGAGACAGTGGCCCCTAGAACTGGGAGAGACAGTGGCCCCTAGAGCAAGGAGAGACAGTGGCCCCTAGAACTGGGAGAGACAGTGGCCCCTAGAACTGGGAGAGACAGTGGCCCCTAGAGCAAGGAGAGACAGTGGCCCCTAGAACTGGGAGAGACAGTGGCCCCTAGAACTGGGAGAGACAGTGGCCCCTAGAACTGGGAGAGACAGTGGCCCCTAGAGCAAGGAGAGACAGTGGCCCCTAGAGCAAGGAGAGACAGTGGCCCCTAGAGCAAGGAGAGACAGTGGCCCCTAGAGCAAGGAGAGACAGTGGCCCCTAGAGCAAGGAGAGACAGTGGCCCCTAGAACTGGGAGAGACAGTGGCCCCTAGAACTGGGAGAGACAGTGGCCCCTAGAACTGGGAGAGACAGTGGCCCCTAGAACTGGGAGAGACAGTGGCCCCTAGAGCAAGGAGAGACAGTGGCCCCTAGAGCAAGGAGAGACAGTGGCCCCTAGAGCAAGGAGAGACAGTGGCCCCTAGAGCAAGGAGAGACAGTGGCCCCTAGAGCAAGGAGAGACAGTGGCCCCTAGAACTGGGAGAGACAGTGGCCCCTAGAACTGGGAGAGACAGTGGCCCCTAGAACTGGGAGAGACAGTGGCCCCTAGAGCAAGGAGAGACAGTGGCCCCTAGAACTGGGAGAGACAGTGGCCCCTAGAGCAAGGAGAGACAGTGGCCCCTAGAGCAAGGAGAGACAGTGGCCCCTAGAACTGGGAGAGACAGTGGCCCCTAGAACTGGGAGAGACAGTGGCCCCTAGAACTGGGAGAGACAGTGGCCCCTAGAGCAAGGAGAGACAGTGGCCCCTAGAACTGGGAGAGACAGTGGCCCCTAGAGCAAGGAGAGACAGTGGCCCCTAGAACTGGGAGAGACAGTGGCCCCTAGAACTGGGAGAGACAGTGGCCCCTAGAACTGGGAGAGACAGTGGCCCCTAGAGCAAGGAGAGACAGTGGCCCCTAGAACTGGGAGAGACAGTGGCCCCTAGAACTGGGAGAGACAGTGGCCCCTAGAGCAAGGAGAGACAGTGGCCCCTAGAACTGGGAGAGACAGTGGCCCCTAGAGCAAGGAGAGACAGTGGCCCCTAGAACTGGGAGAGACAGTGGCCCCTAGAACTGGGAGAGACAGTGGCCCCTAGAGCAAGGAGAGACAGTGGCCCCTAGAGCAAGGAGAGATAGTGGCCCCTAGAGCAAGGAGAGACAGTGGCCCCTAGAGCTGGGAGAGACAGTGGCCCCTAGAACTGGGAGAGCCAGTGACCCCTAGAGCAAGGAGAGATAGTGGCCCCTAGAGCAAGGAGAGACAGTGGCCCCTAGAACTGGGAGAGACAGTGGCCCCTAGAACTGGGAGAGCCAGTGGCCCCTAGAGCAAGGAGAGCCAGTGGCCCCTAGAGCAAGGAGAGATAGTGGCCCCTAGAACTGGGAGAGACAGTGGCCCCTAGAGCAAGGAGAGACAGTGGCCCCTAGAACTGGGAGAGACAGTGGCCCCTAGAACTGGGAGAGACAGTGGCCTCTAGAACGGGGAGAGACAGTGGCCCCTAGAACTGGGAGAGACAGTGGCCCCTAGAACTGGGAGAGACAGTGGCCCCTAGAACTGGGAGAGACAGTGGCCTCTAGAACGGGGAGAGACAGTGGCCCCTAGAACTGGGAGAGACAGTGGCCCCTAGAACTGGGAGAGACAGTGGCCCCTAGAACTGGGAGAGACAGTGGCCCCTAGAACTGGGAGAGACAGTGGCCTCTAGAACGGGGAGAGACAGTGGCCCCTAGAACTGGGAGAGACAGTGGCCCCTAGAGCAAGGAGAGACAGTGGCCCCTAGAACTGGGAGAGACAGTGGCCCCTAGAACTGGGAGAGACAGTGGCCCCTAGAACTGGGAGAGACAGTGGCCTCTAGAACGGGGAGAGACAGTGGCCCCTAGAACTGGGAGAGACAGTGGCCTCTAGAACTGGGAGAGACAGTGGCCCCTAGAACTGGGAGAGACAGTGGCCCCTAGAACTGGGAGAGACAGTGGCCTCTAGAACGGGGAGAGACAGTGGCCCCTAGAACTGGGAGAGACAGTGACCCCTAGAGCAAGGAGAGACAGTGGCCCCTAGAACTGGGAGAGACAGTGGCCCCTAGAACTGGGAGAGACAGTGGCCCCTAGAACTGGGAGAGACAGTGGCCTCTAGAACGGGGAGAGACAGTGGCCCCTAGAACTGGGAGAGACAGTGGCCTCTAGAACTGGGAGAGACAGTGGCCCCTAGAACTATGAGAGACAGTGGCCCCTAGAACTGGGAGAGACAGTGGCCCCTAGAACTAAGAGAGACAGTGGCCCCTAGAAGTAGAAGCTGACACCAGGCACGGATCAATACACTACGCAGATGCTGGGAACAGCTGACTCACGATCGTGGGGAAAACGCCGGCTATTTCCAGCACACACACGGTGTTGCTGCACGCACGAGGTTTGACAGTTTTGTTTTTCTATGTCCTGTCTGTGGGACAAGCTACATCACACGGATGACGGACTAACCACAAGGAGCGAACCCTTACTCGAACACTCCCAGAGTGACATCACTGGCTGAAGGTAAGTCACGGTACCAAAACGTGACGTCACTTGTGTACCTGGGTACAGAAGCGAGATACACCTTCCCACAAACTCGTGGTGAGACAACAGAAACGAGTGGTCAGTCAGACAGGTGCGGCCTGTTGGTCCCCACATACCAGGCCCACTTCTACACGGAGAGCTGAAACTCCGGTGGTATTTTGATTGAACATAATCCATAACATTTCGATTTGACCACAAGACATAACTTTCACAAGCGAGCCCATCTACGAACAGACCTCCCATAACAATCGGCTTGTCGGAGAATGTGAAATAATAAAAACAAACAACACGTGCCGCGCGAATATTTACAAACAAAAAGACGTTGACCAATGAAGTGAAGTGTTTACTTGTTCACCATTGGTCGGTACACGATGTTGACACATGAACCCGGTACGACAGCTGACACAGCAAACAATTGGAAACAAAGATGGCTCCGTCCAGTGGAGTCAGCACGTCATGGATGCTCCGCGCCTGACCAAAAACACAATCAAAGTTTGGGTACACACATAGACACAAACGTAGGCGCCCTACTCGCTCGCTAACACATGGGTGTGATCTAACACTGACGTGTAACAGTACGACGTCACAACATCCACACGGTAATCCACAGAGAAAAGTCGGCGACTTCATACACAGGAGGAAACGAACATGTTCCCCGCGTTCAATCAAACTGATCGTCCGAACAGCTGCCGTGTCCAGAAAAATCTAACACATCAGCAGTAGCGGCGAGAAAAGCCCTCCGCCGCCTTCAACTGACGGCTGAAAAATGAGGGGAAGGGGAGGAGCGGTTTCCTCACAGTGGAGGAAGATGAGACGGTGAAGGTCGACACACGCAGGCCGCGATAAGCTGGGGAGTTTTCCCAGTTATTTTAAACTGACACATCATCAGACACAACCCAGTCAATACGACCTGTCAGTCCAACAACGTACGGTGAACGTGACTGTGTAACCAGGGCCGATAGACATGTAGACAAACTCGACAGGGGGGGGGGGAGATATCCCGACAATCTGACCCCTAGGTGCCCTCCCCAGTCCCAGCATGACTCATGCATTAACCGGTGAGGAATAAATGTTTCAACACTTCTGGTGGTGGTCAAGTGGCCGACTTAAAGCCACACTATGGAGAAGATACACTGGTCAGTACACGAGGGGAGGTAAGCATACACGGGTAGAGATGGGAGGGGGAGAATTAGACGTGTGTTATACCAGTACAACAATTGCCAGGGGAGGGGGTTAAACAGGACATAGGAAGAAAAGATTCAATCAAATACAAGGAGGGGATGGCCACATTCATTCTATGGGGGAGGGGAGACCACGCTAACGTATCGATCGGATGGCTATTTTTAGACCACTTTGTCACACTAATCTGAAGGTTGTACACAGCGATTAGGTGAGGATTTGGTTGGTGGGGGGGGGGGGGGGGCGTTCAACCCATGTAGCCATATTTTATTCGTTCTACATCAGGCAGCTGTCTTTGGTGATAAAATAAAGGGGCAAATAGATGGGCAGTTGGTTTATAGATGGGCAGTTGGTTTATAGATGGGCAGTTGGCCGTAGGTTTATAGATGGGCAGTTGGCCGTAGGTTTATAGATGGGCAGTTGGCCGTAGGTTTATATATGGGCAGTTGGCCGTAGGTTTAAAGATGGGCAGTTGGCCGTGGGTTTATAGATAGGCAATTGGCCGTAGGTTTATAGATAGATGGGCAGTTGGCCGTATGTTTAAGGATAGATGGGCAGTTGGCCGTAGGTTTATAGATAGATGGGCAGTTGGCCGTAGGTTTAAGGATAGATGGGCAGTTGGCCGTAGGTTTATAGATAGATAGGCAGTTGGCCGTAGGTTTATAGATGGATGGGCAGTTGGCCGTAGGTTTAAGGATAGATGGGCAGTTGGCCGTAGGTTTATAGATAGATAGGCAGTTGGCCGTAGGTTAATAGATAGATAGGCAGTTGGCCGTAGGTTAATAGATAGATGGGCAGTTGGCCGTAGGTTTAAGGATAGATGGGCAGTTGGCCGTAGGTTTAAGGATAGATGGGCAGTTGGCCGTAGGTTTAAGGATAGATGGGCAGTTGGCCGTAGGTTTAAGGATAGATGGGAATTTGTCCTAATGTCGCAGACTAAAACTACTTTACGCGAGCTGTATCGCGTACAAGATGACCCTCTCTGACCACATGCGTGGACACATGCGCCATTAGCCACGTAAGTGATTATGTTTGTACAACTAGGATGACCTGCTGTGAGACGGCCAGCGTGCATGAGATCCTCACAATGGACCCATGCTGACCACATCGCCAGTACGTGACCAGCAATCCTCTACACCCATACAAATGTACCGCTCCAACAATCGCTTGACGAGGGTATTGACATCTCATAAAAGCCAAAGCGAACCTGTCAAAACTTGACCACAATTAACGCTGACCATCCTTTCATTTGTAATGCAATCTTTTTTTTTTTTTTACATGCATGTTTCGGCGGTGAACAGAAAAAAAGCCAGAGGGGAAAAGTCAGTTTTTGCTAGGGATAATAAGTTAAAATACTGTTAGATAATGTACATATTAACCTCAACTTTCGTTACGTGCTGGAAAATTATTTAAAAAACAAATCACTGTGTTTGCATGTTTTTGCTGTAGGCCTTATCTTGGTCGGCTTCTCCTCAATCGGCTTTGTCCGTCCTTATTTGTGTTGTTGACGTTTTGCGTAAATGACAGTCTTTGTACTGTGTCGACTTTCTGTTTTGATCCTATGCTTTGTTATGTAATTAGCGTGTTTAAGGTGGTTGAACTATTGTTGCGATGAGTTGAGGGCACCAATCTAGGTCTTTATGTCATTTCACGCTAATTTAAAATTAGCATTCAACAAAACGATTGAACGAAACCGAGAAGGTTCGAACATTATAATCAAATCTATTAAATATTGTATGTAAAACGGAATTACAATTAATACCTACAAACTTTATATATCTTTTATTTGTGTTTTAAATATGACTATATGTATACAACCCACGCATATATATCTAAAATATTTACAATACATTTAATTAATCGTTAGTTGATTTACATAATACGTACAAGTATTAACACATTCCATGCAAATACACATTCGTGACTTTTTTCCTGTGACTATTTTTTTTGTGTTTTTACTTTCTCGCATGTACAAAGTATAGAGAAAGTCTAGTAATCGTGCACCAAAAAAAAAAAAAAAAATTGGAGATTTTTACAAATCTCGACGTTTTACACCTCCCTGAGTCGGAAAAACATATTTTTGCAATCTTGTCCGTATGTCTGTGTGTATGTGTGTGTCTGTAAACACGATAACTTGAGTACCGTTACAGCTAGGTTGATGAAATTTCATATATAAGTATTTTATCAAAATCGTAGATCCGTATCAACTTTTGAGCGATTTCCGATAACCGGAAGTGGTATTTTTTCTACATTGAATGTTTCAAAAGCCTATAACTTGAGTACTATTTCAGATAGATAAATAAAATTTCATATGTAAGTAAAAGATCTAATCCTCTACCTTCTATCAAATTTTGAGTAATTTCCGTTGACAGGAAGTAGTAATTTACGCTATTTCCGATTTCTCAAAAAAAAAAAAAAAAAAAAAAAAAAAAAACGCATATAAATTTATAAAGTACTAATAATATTGCGCTCTATTGTGCACATTTTGTTATGGCGTTCGCTTGGTGCGCAATTATTTTTTCTACGAGATTCTATTCTATTTTTAAAAGTTTAAGTAATTAAAAATCATGTCTATATTCCGAGTTGCCATCCCACGTAGTGTAAGAATATTCGAGAAAGTTTAGGGGAGATCAGTCCCGGTTTATTTTCCCCTGTGACTTTTTTTCCTACAACCGTGTCGTCATCCGTGTAAAAAAATGTTTTCGCCGTCATTCGATGACACGTTTGAGATGATTTATTTCATGTGCGCGGTCACACCTTTTTACTAGTATACCGAGTATAGAGAAAGTATTGTAATTTTGCAAACAAATTATATAGGATTTTGATAGTTTTCGCCGTTTCACACCTTAACACTTTATCGTATACGCAATATAAAGGATGCAGTGTATTCAAAAATCTAATGACGAAATTTCATGAACAAGTTTTTCAGTGACCTCCGATAAACGGAATGGTTAGTTTATTTATGTTTTTTAAGAATACAATTAACTTTTATATAGTTTCAGTTTTCAAATTTTAAACATGTTGAATATCTTATCTTGATTCTGTCAAACTTTGACTGATTTCCGCTGAACGAAAGTATGACTGCTAAATTTCCGATGTCTGAAAAACGAACATACCGATTTCTTCAAAATTTTCACGTAGGTCTAGACGTGATGACAATGCATTATGAAATAAAATTTGTCTGAATCAGATGTTTAATTAACTGATACAAATTTAATGTTTCCTTTATACAGCACTCATTTCCGCTCTATCATGTGCACATTGTTTGCGTTCATTTGGACGCAAGTCCTTTCCAATTATTAATAATATAAAGTTTAGGGGAGATCTCTCCCGCTTTTTTATATATGGCGTAGCAGTTTTATTTTTCTTTATAATAGTCGATGGCTCCTAACATTAATATACAGTCCGGGTATGTAGATAGTGTAACACGCGTGGCTATATGGGCTGTGGGTGGGGGTTTGTTGTGAGTGGGGTTGGTGGATGTTGGGTGTGATTTGATGCTTGATGGATGTGAATGGAGTTTGGTGCATGTAGGGCGTGAGCAGGATTTAGTGTAAAATAGGTGTTAAGTTGGTGCGCTACCTTTGTAGGTGTTAAGTTGGTGCGCTACCTTTGTATGTGTTAAGTTGGTGCGCTACCTTTGTAGGTGTTAAGTTGGTGCGCTACCTTTGTAGGTGTTAAGTTGGTGCGCTACCTTTGTAGGTGTTAAGTTGGTGCGCTACCTTTGTAGGTGTTAAGTTGGTGCACTACCTTTGTGATAAGTGTGCACACGCTTAACAAGAAAAGGTTAGGATGACATTTGATAACAACACGTTTCAACAACCTGAACTTACCCATGATGTGAGGTGTTTCTGTATACCATGTTTCGTTAGGCCTCGTGCAAGCGAACAGCGAGTAGCGGTTCCTGGCACGCATAGTAGCGTCCCCTTGAGCTCCAGTTTAGTTCTATGTGTGTGTCCGACACAACTAGCTATAGTAGGTTCTACTGCCAGTGGCGTCAATGTGTGTCCCCGACACAACTAGCTACAGCAAGTTTGACGGCCAGCAGTGTCACCGTGTGTGGCAGTCAGCGCCATCACGTATTGTTTTACAAGGAAAGTTCTGCTGTCAGTATTTGACAGTTCGTAGCTTGTTAGGTCACGTGAGACATTGGTAAACTTCCGACCGTTGTGCCAAGTCAAGTGTCAGGAAGTATAAACTATCGCATCACTAGTTACACACAAATGGTTGGTTGACAGATCAAGTATAAACTATCACATCACTAGTTACACACACATAGTTGGTTAACAGTTAGATCTTATCAGCTTCACTTACTTCACACTTGCCTAGTTATGCACAAGCGAAGTCAGACTAGCTATAATAAAACCATTTGTGTGGGGTAAGCAATATGGGGAAAGTTAAGGCTGCTGGACATAAAGCTTATCACACGATAACTTCATATGTCGAGGTCAAGAAACATATGAACTATAATTCATCTGACCAAAGGATCGCTAGGTCAAAAGGGAATCTTTAATGCGGTGCCAACTAGCCATAATAAAACTACTTATATGGGGTAAGCGATGTCAACTAGCCATAATAAAAC